CCTGTTGGTCATCAGTGCAAACAATTTACAGTAAATATACCGACAATATGAAATGTCTTCAGTCTAACAATACAGCACTTTAACTATAATGCTTTACGTCTTCAGGTAAACAAAGTGCTACGAAACCACAACATCAAGCCTCACTGGATGTTCGCTCTGGACAACATCATTCGCAAAGCTGTGCAGACCGCCATCACCATCTTGGTGCCAGGTAACATCATCAGTGTCCCGAGCAGAGCACCTCTAAATACGTTATCAGCGGTCTGTCAGGGAAGCACTGGCTGCCCGATAACTATAGGAGCTGTGGTGGGAGTTTCCCCCTGGATGCTACAGTAATTACAGCTCTCTGCTGAACGACAGACATCTGGGAGGCTGGGGGATTTTCTGTGATGACAACTGAAACACTGACGCCATCCACATGAGCACAATGGAGTAGCATCCGATTTTAAGAAGCCCGCTCAACAGGAGAACTAGTAGCAGCTGTAAAGCTTGGCTGACGTGCAGCTCAGTCTGGCAGTTTGTGTATTTTTGCAGGAGCTTACACAATGAGATGTGATCATCAGAATGAAACCAAACAATAAATCTTGAATCTTAGATTGAGTCAGAAAAGTGTAACGTTAACTTACTACTACTATTTACTTAACTACGATTAAATCATAATTATACATACCTGTGTGTCTGGAATCTGATCTCTTTCAGTTCCTATGACATGATACGTAATCATCCAGTAAATCTTCAAAGTATTGTCTTGTGTCGGTGTTCAGAGCTGAGGCCTCACTTCAGCCTGGCCTCGGAAAGCGACCCAGCCGAGCAGGACGACGTTGACGACGACGCCGAGCCGGGGAGGAACTCCACCCACCAGGGCCGGGCACCTACCGTCGCCGCTCACGACGACAACGTGGTCACCTCGGGAATCAGCACGCTCAGCTCCACCGTCTCACACGAGTCCCACAATGCACAGCGCTCTGTGAGCATGGAGCTGGGCCGGATGAAGCTGGAGACCAACAGGTAGTCGAGAACATTTACTGTGATTTAGATGCGTTTGTCGGCAAAATGGCTTTCATTTCTGTGAGTTTTCATGTAATTTTATTAGTCATTTCATTCATTCAACTGATGTTGTGTTTCCTCCCTCCGACTTGTTTGACTCCAGGCTGATGGAGCAGCTGCTGGCGAAGGAGAGAGAGTACCATGCCATCCTGCAACAAGTGCTGGGGGAGAGAGAGCAGGAGATCAGACTACTGAGGCTGCGATCTGAGCCCGCAGGTCTGGACTTCAATCTGATTTACCTTTTCACACTTTTCACTGTTTGCAACACTAGCACCACTTCTGCTTCTACTGCCAGTCTGCCTTTACATTTCACAAGCAGCTGTGGCTCATTGAGGCTGATCTGTAGGAAATACATCATCACAGAAAAAGTGCGGCGAAATCTCATCACCTACTGGAGGTGCAAACTGTGTGAATTCCAGAATGAAAACATCTATTACACATGATGTGCATCCTGCTTGTGATGATATTGCTTCATCTTAAAGCGATTATCTTGATCCTTTTTAGATGGACAAACTCCTAGTGCAAACATTGTATAGTTCTTTTCAGAGGTACCGTCTTGCTGCACATCTGCCAGCAACATGTACAAATACATTTGTGATACGTTTGTAGAACTCACCTGCAAAGTGTTATTTACTACCGTAAATTGCATTGCACAGCTAGAAAATCAGCTGCATGCGGGCAAAGAATGAGATACGGGTTAGTCACAGTACAAATGAACAACAATAACATACCTGGTGCTGGTATACGGGCTAGTGTTGCTATATAAGGCAGCTTTGAAGTTGGAGCATATAATAAGTAAGATATCCTCATCATTTGGTTATTTTGACGCTGCAGAACGCCGTTGTTTTCCAATGCAAATGTTGCATGAATGGGTCCGGTGTGTCTAAAGCAGTCTGTTCCCTATATCCTCTGGCAGACGTCCCCTCATCATCAGGTGTCCCCGAGGGACAGAGGAGTCCGCCTGCAGAGAGACGTGAAGACTCCGAGATGACCAGCTGGCTCAGGCTTTACGGCGCTGACCAGAACTCCATAGACAGCGTGAGTCCCTGCTTCTACTCTGGAGCTGCACCTTGTCTGTTGGTTGACGTCACACAGAACAATCTTTGAGATACTATTATGAAGCTTTTTTTAAACAATGTTACTGAGCGGTTTGCAACTAGATGAAACAATGAATAAAAGATGGTATAAAGCGTTGTGCAGTTACAAAGAACAGAAGGTAACCTAAAGAGCTACGTCTTCTTGAATCTCGTGTAACTGTTTAGTACAGAAGCGCTGTTTGTACCCTGCACCCTCATTTCATGCATTTTGTTTCTCCAGATACTGAACGAGGAGTACACGTTGAACAACATCCTCCACGATGTAACAAGAGACGATCTGAAGAGTTTAAGACTGAGGTAGTTTTTTTTTTTTTTTTTATTTGTGTCCGTTCACAGTTTCACTTCTGTATTCACTAAAAAAAAACATGCTGAAACTCACAAATACCAAATACCAGAAACAGTCGTGAAGCTGAGACAACTCTTTGTTGCATAATTCTTTCTGTAGGTTTGCACCGGGCAACTCGGCACTGTAGTGAGTCATAGTGGCAGCTTCATTTCTCAGAAATCCTATGAAGGTGTCCATAGTTTCAACATGTTTATTAGCTAGCTACTACTACTACAGTTTTCATCTCCTTTTTATATTTCTCTCATTTGTAGCTGTGTATCACATAAGAGTGAAACATTTCAAAAACAATTATTGATGAAGGATCACTGCATGTGTCAGATTTGTACATTTTTGCATGTGGCGCCCCCCAGTGGTAGTATAAAAAACGACAACATTTTCTATCTGCAGATTTTGAAAACTCTTAAAAAGCTATGGATTCACTTTCCTCAAAACACGCCTTCGAAAGTATTTAAAAAGTTGTATATTTTTTTCTCTTGCCTGCTGTAGGAAGTATTATTTTCTTATAATATGTTTTTGTATCCAGTTGTGGGCTGCCGGGAGATATCATTAATTTACAAGTTATAAGTGAGACTGTTGCGACAGTGAATTGTATGAACAGGAGGCTGTTAAATCCGTATTTGTCGAGACCTATTACAGTAATACAGATAGTCACTACTGTTGACTACAGTAGCAAGGCAGCTCGAACCTAAATCTACTGAATCGAGTAGCTCGAACCTAAATGAACTTAAATGAATTTGTTTTAAATACATAAATACATTTGCTGCTGCTTATCCGGGCCAGTTTGCATTAATTTCATTAATTATATCATCATCATAATAATTATATAGGAATTATTGTTGTACACTGCGGGGGAAGTACTGAAAGGAATGTGATTTAAATAATACTATTATCGTATCATCTACTGCTTTCATACTTTGGCCAATTTGACTGTGAAGCAGGTATGAATTACATTTTTTGTGGTATTAAAAAGGTCTTAAAAAGTATTAAATTGAACTCCATAGTTGCCAATGGAACCTGTTCTCTGTACTTTGTAAAAACCTTGCTTCATTAATTGACAGATAATGATGTTATGCACATACATGTACAGTCAGAGAAGTGCTTTCTGACTCTCAGGACAAGAGAAACTAAAATGCATTAGAAAATGATATAATGGGTAATTATAGACAGCAAATAATATTGAAAAGCTCAGTTATAGGACATATAAGAGTGTCATTTCTGTTGGTTAAAGCAGTAGCATACTGCACATTGTATGTTGTAACCTCTTTTCTCTGTCTCCTGTCAGAGGCGGGATCCTGTGTAAACTATGGAAGGCCATCACAGACTACAGGCAGAAGCCAACCTGAGGCCTTAAGTGGCAACAACCACTTGGAAAAGCCCGGACCTTTGTCCCAACAACTCCAGTATTCTCCTCTTTACCTCAGTAATTATAAGAGCAAGACTTTTAGGAGAAGAACCTGTGATTGCTGTGTACACAGAGCAGCTTTCCACTCACACATGACACTCTTGGACCGGTCTTGTCAGAGTATTTTCATAATTTTCTGGGGGGGGGGGGAAGGTCCTTTTGAAAGCAACAATTACTGAGAAGTGCCACTAGTTTTGCTATGCCTGATGGACATTACACAGCTTTTTGTTACAAGTGCGTTAAAAATGACAATTGGTGAGAAATATTGAAACTGTCCAAACATGTTTCTCCTGTCTTTACAAGATGTAATGTTTACAAAACTGGGGACTGACCGTTTTCTAATACAAGCCTGAGATACAAAATACTACATTCAAAATCATCTGTACTAATGTTTTTAACATCGGCATCTTATCACTACTTTATTTAAATGTCTTTTTAATTTAATTGCTATGGTAATCTGAAGGACGTCCATGCATGCCCTGTTTTTGTTTTTTGGTATTTTATCCATACTGAGACTTATTTAAATAGTTTTTCTCACATTTCCTTTTATAATACGAATCTACATTTTTATTTTTCATAAACGTGTAAATATTGTGTTACAGAATTATATGTGAACGACATGTATGTGCTTTTAAAACGCATTGATAAACATAGTTAAATCTCCATGAGTCTATAATGAACACGTGAAAAATCAATTGTATAGTATTGTATTTTCTAGTATCACAAATCATAGGATATATAATATTCAGTAAGTAATTTATATTACATTAAATCATTTACTCTTTCTTTTTTTTTGTACAGACAAAATTGTGCTTACCTTGCTTGTCTTGATATGATCATCAATCAGATGTAATGGAAAAATGTCCTATGAAAAAGCCTTGACCTTTTTTATTTTAAAAATATGATGTCAGAAATGGGGAACATAATCATGAGCAGTGTGTGTCAGTTTTGTTTCATATCTAAAATTATTCACGATTTTTGTGTCCTATTAAAAAAAAAATCTTGAAACTGTGAAAGAAATGTGTTAGAAATGTTTTTATTGTAACAATAGGCTGGTAAATGCAATGGTTTCTCTTTACTCATGTAGAAAAGTTACATATACTGTATATATTGACAATTGTCAAATGTTTTTTAGTCATTTTAAGTTATATTTCCATTTTAAAGCCATATATTAGCATAATGGTTTTATTAAATAAAAGCTGTAGTGGTTGTCTTGTCAAAAGTAACGCTCAATAAACTGACTAACAAAGATGTATAGTCACAAAATTCAGTAAGATTTCATAAAAAATATTGTAGCTTTTACATTTTAACTTGAGTAAGCTCATAGGCACAGAGTGATTCAACTGTTAAAATCAAATTTTAATATAGATACAGGCAGACAAGAGCCTCAAAATATTACAATAAAACAAAACTATTGAAAAGCTAGAGTAATGAAAATGTGAAAATGTCTCCCTGTTGTGTTCCCGTTTCTAAAGGCAAACACCTGTGGAAAGGTGGAGAGAGGGAGGTAAACAGAGCTGCAGGTGTGTCCTCGCCATATTTATCCATCACTGTGACGTCACTGGTTTCTGCTGAGCAGCCAAACGGTCTCGCGGCCGTCTTCCCCCTCACCATGACAACTACAGATTTCTAGCATCGTCAGAGGACAAACGGTTCGCTGCTCCGCTCGTGATTTGGAGACGATTACTCTGTAAAATACCGTGTTTTAAGTGAGTATTACGGGGATATAGTTCATGTAGGAAGGCCGTTTTTTCTCCCTGTGTGGTTGCGTCGGAGGCCAGCCGGAGGCAGAAGAGGGGAGACGCCGTTTAACAGAACAACATGGCTCTCTTTCAGCATCCCCGGCTGCTGCTGCTCGCTTGTGTCGTGCTGCTGAACGCAGTCCGACGTATCGACACCCGATCCTTGCCCATATCGGATCTGAAATCCAAAATATCGGGCGTAGAGGAGCTCTTGGAGGAATTCCGCAAGCAGCTCCAGCAGGACCAGACGTACCGGGCGGGCGATGCGCTGGACTCGTGCGTGGGCGACTTCAACGCCGTCGGGGAGCGCATCATCCGGACCAAGGCCTCCATCGAGCAAGGGGCCACCTTCCTGTTGGCCCCGGACCGGGTGTACACCTGGAGGGACTGTCTGCACGCCTGCTGCTCCCAGCCACACTGCACCGTGGCGGTGGTGCAGCAGGACCTGAGGCAGCCCGGGGACAGCCTCAGCTGCTACCTGTTCAACTGCACCTACAGGAGCAAAAATGTCTGCAGCTTCGCCCCGCAGCAGGGCTTCACCGCGTACAGCCGGACAGCCAACACCACGCAGGGACAACTCCCTGTTTCATCCAGCGGGGCAGCCAGGGGGCCCGGGGCAGGACATGAGGACGATACACAAGGTGGGAGGATGACGACAACAACCTGAATATAGAAAGTATTGGTCCATGTGATTGATAATGATTGAGATGATGTTGTGCATGCATGGATAGCCTGTTTGTGTTGATATTAAAATCCTGCAGGGCCATTTTTTACAATTATCCTGGATAGATAATAAGTTAGTTTTAGTTATGGACAACCAATCAATATGCTTACCCTTCTAGATGACATACCCATGGTTTATTCATTGAAGCTTAAATGATAGTCTTTAACGTTTCATCTTCAACTAAAACACTGCTGATTAAATTAAAATATATAACGGAGGAAGGAGCACAATATAAAGGTTTTTTTTTTACTTAACATGCAGATTTTATAGAAACATGACTTATAATGTAGGGAACAAAGCATTACGTAATGATTTGTAATGTGGTTCTTTGTTTTCTAGGAATGGCATAATGTATCATAGGACGGTTTAAGCAATATTTACTCTGATGTATCTATAGAACAGAAATTAGCCCTCCAAAGTGGGTTATCTAACTTTATAGTACTAAAGAAAACGTGTCTGCAGTCTCAGTTTATTCTCTCTAGTATGTAAGATAATCAAATTCAAACAGTCACTAGCAACTGCTTAATCTTGATAAAGCCGGCAGGCTGGGTTAATGATTTGCAACATTAGATAAGGACACTGAGATGACAATAGTTATCTTATTTGTTGACTTACTAGTGATACTGAGCTGAAATGATTGGTCAGCTGATTGATTACCGTTTAAGTAAAGTAAAAATACCAACTATTATCTTATTCAGCTTTTTCTAAAATGAGGTTTTGGTGCTAACAAAAGAGTGAAATTGAAATAAAGTAGCCGTGTAGTACACATCCTCTATTATCTTTTTTTTTTTCCTGTGTGATGTTCCAGATGTGGATGAGCCTCCTCGCAGCGACGCCGGACAGGATGTGGTGATCCAGCTGCCCACAGACTGGGCCGTCCTGGATGGACGGGACAGCGTGGACGACCATGGCATCGACCACTATGAATGGACCCTCGTCAAGGGGGACACGGCCATCAATATGAAGGTCAGTGCACGCCGATCGTCAAGCCAACATCTTGGTATTAAATGTTTGTATACAGGTTAATTTCGGCGCATCCATTTGAGTAATGAAAGCCTGAGAACACACACTAGAGGAAACACAGAGTGAATTAAGAAAAGATACAGGGGTTGCTCTATTGTTCTCTCTTCTCTCAGGGGATCAGCCGATTCTAACATTTTAATTTGCAGTATGAATTGTCACTAATCGCTCTCGCAGACACCAGTGTCAAATTGCTTGTTTGAATAAGTCAACAGGGCGGCTTGTGTCCAGAGCTCCATAATACCTTGCTGTATCAACAGAGATAAGAGTTTATTACGTCCCAACCTGCTCCAAGGACATCAGCCATGTTGGAGCCTGCCCGCTGTTCACAGCCATAGAGGCAACATGCGGAGTGTCTAATACAATGTGTCCTATACACTTAAGTAATTGAGATGTTGTTTTTTGGAAAGACATGTTGCTGCTGAAGTTTTCAAGAAGGAGTGAGCGATAGGAACATATAAACCTTCATATTTTTGTCCGCCGTAGATTGTATCCATCTCTTTAGCACCACAAGGTGTATTAGGTCGTTTTGGGCAATGATGTAAATACTGTATATAAGCAGGACTGTTTTACAGCAGTATTTGATTTTTTTATAAATGTGATGAAGTACAATTTTCAGGTATTTATTTTGCACCTCAATTGTATTTTTTTAATAGATTAAGAATCACAAACAAAGATCTTTTCACATTGTCTTGACACAAAAAGAAAATATCTGCACGACTACAGATTAGTAGGTGCTTGTAAGAGGGCAAATGTGTATTTTTATGGTGTTATGCAGTTATCTAAATAAAAAAAAAAGTATATTTTCCTCAAACAAATACTGTCTTAAAAAGTGTAGCCTACACTAACTTCAATCTGTGCACATGTGATTAATTAAAACCTGATCATTTCTGTATGTGTTGAAGGCGACTCATCCAGGGCTGCTGAAGATCAGCGGACTCCAGAAGGGAGTCTACTCCTTCCAGATGACCGTCACTGACACAGTGGGCCAGAAAAGCTCCGACAACGTCTCTGTTACTGTGCTGGCACCAAAACACCAAGCAGAAGGTGAAGTGTTCAACAAAACATGTATCTTGTGTGTGTGTGTGTGTGTGTGTGTGTGTGTGTGTGTGTGTGTGTGTGTGTGTGTGTGTGTGTGTGTGTGTGTGTGTGTGTGCAAAAAGTATTGCTGCTCAGCCAGTTTAAATGGCAGCACTGATGATGCTACAGCATTAAAGAATATATGTAGTACTTTCAACATTTTCTAATCATTAAGAGCTGGGTTTATGTGGTCCCAGTTTAAGACTGTTACAAATGTATAACTGTAACTTTGTTGTGCCCACAGTTTGTACAGGTCTCTGTTCAAAGTACCAGTTCAAGTGTGATGACGGCTGCTGTATTGACATCACGTACGCTTGTGATGGGAAGCAACACTGTCCAGACCGCTCCGATGAAATCTTCTGCCCAATCTGTAAGAAACCCTTGTTGTTTTGTAATGGTGAACATCTCATGTAGTCTCTTGTATTGTAAGAATCAGTTCAAGGAATTCGAGAACTTCATTAACTAGTTTTTTAGTTGACAGCAACAGGAAGTCAGTGACCCACCCTGCCGATCTGCCTCAGCCAGAGGAGGCAGAGGATGGCTCCATGCTCCAGACTGGGCCCAGAAAGAGCATTGAGAACATCATACCACCTCAGGACAGGAGCAACGCCGCTCTTCCACAAAGTCCCAGTCAACAGGAGGCTTCAGCCAGTCAAGGTAAAGGTTGTGTTCATGTTGAACACCTTAAAAAAAGTGTGTGATACAAAACAGAGTGCTCGTTCCAAATACAGGGTCGGGTGGCAATCTACAAGCATCACAATATGATCCTCCATCGCTGAGTCGTTAGTGCGGTACCCGTTTGTAAAGAGGCAGAGAGAGAGTTTTTAGTGCGTGTCTGGACATAGAAGCAGATGGAGGCCCTGTAGGCAGCCGTTGAGTCACAGCACTGAGCTCAAAAGGGCTGGCAAAGCCACAGGGACACTCAGCATTCCCTGGGAAAGTAGTTCTTTGCCAGCATCTTCTCCGAGGGCTGGAACAAAGCCCCTCTGTCCGCTCCGCCATCTGATCCCTGGATCAGGCTGAGACTGACCAAAAAAGGGCTTCTCCCCCTCCGTCGGTATTTTACGGCAGGTAGTACATTCTCAGGAGTCTTTTCTTCATTGTAAACAACTTCCCTTCTTTCATGTGAGATATTTAAGTTTATTATGTATTACAAAAAAACACTTACTGGTGCAATTTGTTGACAAAGTAATTAGTTTCTCATTAGCCACATCTTGTGCCCTCCATGTGAGGAGAAAATAGTTCAAAGTTGATGAGTGGTGTATTGTGCCTGACTCTCTCTCTCTGTAGATCCATGTGCTGCGTCTCCGGTTGTGGGACCCTGTAAAGGCACCTTCCCGCGCTGGTACTATGACCAAAATGCGGGAGAATGCAAACACTTCCTGTATGGCGGTTGCCAGGGCAACCATAACAACTTCCTCCAGGAAACTGACTGTGTCAGTGAATGTATACAAAAGAGTGAGAATCTGCTTCTTGTCAATTTAATTTTTTCAATCTAATACACATTTAACACATAAAACAACTGTAATTCTTTTTCTTTTGTTTTCATGGAAACATCTTTTAGGTCCAGCTTTCAAACCAGCAACTGTGGCTCCTCCAATCACCAAACAGACTGAGATAGGTAAAGCCAGAGCGCATTTCAATACAACTTTATTGACATACCAGTAAGTGTTTCCAAATCTATATTGTTTATGTGCCTTTTTCTTGCAAGCTGCCCCAAAAGTATCCCAGAGCCAGGCAGAGAGCAGCGTCCCCGTCTCCAAACCGTTTCCCGTGATAGGAGGGCATCCAGTACCAGAATCAGGTATAGTTTGAGTTTGTCTGTACCTCCTGTTCTTGTTTTATGTGTCATGTTCTTCCTAATTGTCTACATGACCTCTCTTTCCCCCTGAAGGTGCAATCCTTCCTCTGGCTCTCGGCATAATCATCACCGCTCTGCTGCTGCTCATGATCGGCTGTCGTCTCAGACTCGTTGGACACAAGCTGAAGAAAGCTCGACCCCTCACCACAGAGGAGTCCGATTACCTCATCAACGGCATGTACCTGTAGCCAATCAGCCGGGATCTGAGAAAGAGAAACACGGCCGTCGTCGCAACACAGCCTGAGCCGGAACGTTTTGAATTTGCACGCTGTGTTTCTTGCAGCCCGGTGTCTGTAATTTGTCCTCATGTCAGGTTGGAAACACCCCAACACGTTGCTGTCATGAACGTTTGTGAACATCGCCACACCGAACCCCTCTGACTGCTAAAACCGCTGCAGATGCTGCCTTTAAAGCCATTGACACACATTTAGACGCTTGTTAATTCACATTTATGTTGTGTGATTTTGAATCCACGATGGATGAATCGACATTTGATAATGAAATACTGCTGTCTGCATTGCCCCAATGACTTCTGGGATACATACAGTACAAGAGGCTATTTTGTGCCCTTGATTGAAATTCCTAAAACGCAGGTTACTTTGATATTAAACATTATTTGCACAAAAATATGCTGTATTTTTTGCCACTGGGTGGCACTAATGTGGCATGCCTGTGCTACACATGTTACTTGAGTTAACTGGCCTGAAGGGCAGAAACACATTGGAGTGCCTGTTATAGTGCACTTTTTTTGACTGATTAGGAATCAGCAACAAATTATTCTTTAAGTTCCTCAGAATCATACAAAGCCATAGTACATTATATTGGTCAAATTCTGTCTAAATTTTGTCGCATATTTTTTGTTATTAACCAAACTTATGTGGAGTATCTACTATATTTGCGCACATGTATTCCCTCAAAGTGCTGTATTTCATGTGAGATATTAAAGTGTGATAAAAATAAAACACTGGTGCGATCTGTTGACTGAGTAATTTACAACAATGCAACACTTTATCTTTTCCCACATGTTTAGCACATAATTAAATTACCATTGAAGCCTTTATTAGCTGTTTGTATAGTTTACAGATTGAGGGGTTTACAATTACACACAAACTATATGTAGTGTTTATTCCAAGACGAGACATATTAGTGTAAAAATGGTGCAATTAGGCTGTCATATATGGGAAAAATTTAAAAAAAAAAAATTAAATGTAGAAATCATTTAAGATCAGCAGAGCATCCATTACCCTTGATAAATAAAGGTTAGATAAATAATTAAAATACACAAACTATTTTTGGTGGCTGGTCATAAATGTCTTTGGGGGGGTGTGGTTGTGGCTAAACAATCGGGACTCCCGACCTCAGTATTTCTAACATACTTTATACAGATTACTATGACCTTATAACTAAATATATAATCAAACACTATGTTGCATCCTGCACACAAAGGATTAAACAACAAAAAGGCAGACAAAAACATAAGCATCTCTTTATTTTCATGTGCCATTCCAGAAACTGTGACAGCCAAATAGCATCCGTCATCCAAAACAAAATGTGCTTTTCGATTTAAAGAAAACAGACATTCATTTGCTTTATATTGTTGAAGTTTATTTTGGCAAAGCAGTGACTATCCCATTTAGTAACAGTCGCCAGAAGAGCCTGCGTTTAATCGTTGATGGAAAACCAGCGGCAGGAAGCGGAAAGCACAGCCCTGTATGTGCACGTGCATCAGTGTTGTTAGCACTCAGCTCTCTTTGGAGTATGTTCGGTGTGATCCAATGCGTTGCTTATTCTATGTGTAGAATGACGTAAGAGTGCTGCACATGAAACGGGTTGTGTGGGTCAGCCATTGTGTTGCCTGTGTGTACTGCTGGCAGCTCATATGTTAGCAGAGAAGTCTACGGTTAGATGTTACACACACATGCGCGCACACACACACACACACACAGTAGCTAGGTGAGTTATCTAAAGGATCCAGGCTTTCCTCGTCGTTGTCCTGTGTTCCTCCTACATTCAGCTTTGATGCTGCTGAAATGTAACATTGTAAAAACTGCTGATTGCATTTAAAATGGTAAAACCACAAAAAAAAAATCAAAATCAAACCCTAAAATCCAGCAGTTAAAAAGTATACACAACCAAAAGAATGCAGGCCTGAACAAAAAACAAAATGTCCTCTCCGATATTTCTGTGCGGAGCTTCAAGCAGTCTTTCTTCCCAGCGCCTCTGGCGGTCAACAATGACACTCTAGTCCATCGTTAGACTTAAACAAAAAGAGCATGTTTTGTTATGCTTTGAACAAAATGCCATGGGCTGTTTGACCCCATCCAAGTTCTCTCCAGGTTCAAACTTAAAGGTGGATTATGGACCGTCTTCCTCTTCAGAGTTCATCCCTGTGACAAACAGAAGTCAAACGTTAGCAAAAGGCAGACAAAGAAGAGCGGCATGCCAGAAACAACCATGCAAACACAAAGTCAAGAGTTCCAATCACATGCAAAATGCAGTTATCGTTTTATTTTTGTCTACATCTCACAGAAGATCAAACAGAATAGTGGCGGAGTTTGGTTTTAGTGCGTTATGAGCAGCCAAATCAACAAAGTGGTCATGCTCTGGAAAACCAAACATATGCCTTCACGCTGCAGCTATTTCAGTTTCCATTTCAGTTTTGGGTACCAAAACGACTATGGCTTCAAATTGCATTAGTCAAGCAGGTTTTGTTGAACCAATTTGGAACCGTGGAGTTAAAAAAACGATGGAGGAAACGTGCAGCTTAGTTGGTATGGTATGGAAGAAGCAAAAAATGTCAGAACAAGCAGCAAAATGCAGCCCCATTCGTGATCCGTTGCCTGCTCCATGCCACACCATTTCACCTTTTTGCCACTGTGAGAAGGAGAGAGTGAGAGGAGGAGATGGGGGGGGGAGAGAGAAAGAAGTCACTTCCACCTGGACCACTGCTTGTCTTTGTCTGTTAAAGGCACATAAATCACTCCCATCAAGGGCTTCATTTTGGTGCTGCCGTCCTCCAACTTGTCGTACTGCTCCAGCATCTGGTTCCCTCCCGCCGGGCCAACGGGCAGAATCAGCCGACCGCCGGGCTTCAGCTGGTCCAGAAGCTGAGGGACAAAACAAGGTACATGCAGTGAGTCAACAGCACGATGATGCAAAAGGACTGAACTAACATGTGCATTTCAAAAAAAGACATTCCAGGATTAAGAATTCCATCCTTTTTGAAACACAAGATGTGTGTGCATTAGTTTTTCTGCACTGGTATTGATTTGTTGCTTTGAATTGTTTAGTTGCAAGTATTCAGAAACTCACCGCTTGGGGGACATTGGGTGCTGCTGCGCCAACATGGATGGCGTCATAAGGTGCTTCCTCAGTGTGGCCCATCCGCCCGTCTCCCACTGAAAGACACACACACACACACGCAAAGTCATCCTGTTTCAAAGATATAAAGCTGGATGATAATATCTTCACTCAATACGTGGAATCTGTATCAGTAATGTGGCAATATGTTTGAGGGTGGAATCTCGTTTCTTTTGCAAAGTACATGAACACATCTGGAGACTTCTAAATCTACAACTGAAGTCTTAAAATAGCTTAATCTGATATCAGCCAAAAAAAACAACAAAGCAGCTTTCTGTTGTTACTTTCAGACTTCAAAGTGTTTGTGTTTTGTTTGACGTGTAGGCGCAATAAGCTGTAGACTCAGCCCACAACTTTCCAGGCTTCATAAACTCCTTCATGTTGGTTTTCTTATTTTCTCTTTTGCGTGGAGTTATTGCCTTTTTATAGTTAGTTTATTGAAACTTTGTGTAAATACTGACAGATTAAAATTCAAAAAAGTAAAAACTGTTTAGCGGCATCCAGCAGATGTTTGGTAGTTTTACACAAGAAATAACCGACACAGTGGAAAAAAATAGTTTTAGCTTTTTTGTTGGCTGGTTAAATTGAGGGGAAAATACTGGACCCATAGAAATAAAAATATTTCTGACTGGACCGAAAGTAAACATACGTTTGCCCAACCACACTCTTTTGCCTGTTTGTGTCAGCACTGCCACCCTCCTGCAGAGCAATTGAAAGCAGGCACTCACTGCTCAATTATTTAGCACTGCATGACCGCTCTACTCTACTGAGCTACTGTATGTTTGGTTGCCCACTAAAAGAGGAGACAGACAGAACTAAGAAGCATTACACTGTGGCTTGTCTTAAAAAAAAAAAAAAAAAAAAAAAAAATGTACAGACAGCTGACATTTTTACAACTCCGATAAGTTCCAGAAAAAGACAAAAACCTTTCATCAAAGACATCTTACCTAATAGCGTGACTCTGCCCGATGTTATCAAGCTGGGGTCATCTTTCTTCACATTAGTTACAGACTCATCTACCAGCTCCTTGATGTGATCAATTCCTATAACTTTCCCTTTCGCTCCAACCTGTAACGCACGAAGGGGACGGCACAACATTAGACACGTTTCCTCTCGTTGTATGCCGATTGGTTGACACGCCAAATAAAATCAGCTCAAATCAGTCAGAATGGCACCGAAGACAAATGGTCTGTGTTTACCGTCACGTGTGGCTCACCATTCGTGCGAAGCAGACGGACAGGATTCCACTGCCGGAGCCGACGTCCAAAGCTTTGGCTCCCTCGTACAGCTGCTCGTGTAGAAGCTCCAGGGCGTAGGCGTGCTGGGTGGAGGGGAGGCAAGCTTTACAAAAAAAAACTGTTCACACTTTGTGATTCACAGGCGGCAGAAAAACTGACTGAGAGTGTTTTTGAAGTCATACCATGTGTGGGGCGCTGATGGTTGCTTGATAGCCTTTTGGTTAAAGAGAGATTTTGTTAGTTCAGACCCGTATTGAGAGTCCAGACCGTGCGGCGATGTGCGAATGATGACGTGAGCAGACGTACCTATTGACTGCGGCGAGTCCATGTACGGATTACACCGAGAGAAGTGGGCTCGGTCTGTGGCCAGCATGACTTCATAGACCTTGTCGGACTTAATAATTCCATTTTCTGGGGATGCAAAAGAGTTTGTGTCATGTTGTGTTATGGAAACGAGAACGAGTACAAACACCAGGTAGGACTATATTACATCATCTTGCAGCAGATGCAAATGGTAATTCATAGAATTAAGGCATTACACAACCAATTACTACAGTTAGTGGTTCCTTCAGGGTTGTGCCATACGACAACATTTGCAGTGAGGATTGCTATATATGCCTTTGTTTATTAGACCATTGGGGGCACGACTGCTTTATGGCAACATTTTGTGACACTGTGAAGATGATGATTCACTGAATTCACCAAAAACAGACATTCTTGTCTGGCTTTCAAACCTTTTCAACAATTTCTCATTTGATTTTCCAGAAAATGTATTATATCTCAATATGTATCGATGTCGTGATAAAGGACTTTATCCATATCTGGGAGAACAGTGGAAACTACTGAGACCAAGTATGAAAAATCTGAGAAAATGTGGGACTAAATGAAGTACATGGGGAGGAAGTTCACAGCAAAGTGTTAAAGTTGATGGACGTGCGGTGGAAGAAACTTAAAAAACTCCCTAAAGAAGTGTTCGTGTCTTCAGAATGAACCCTCATAACAGGTTCCTGCAGCTGGTGCCAAAGGCAGGAAAAGCCAACGACAGCCGGCGCCGCTCTCATTACTGTCTCCGTTCGCCATCAGAGATATGTCACGCTTTAGGATACATTACAAATAAACCATGCACGCTGCTACGGGGACGTGCATGGTTGGTGACGCAGACAAACTTCATGTTGTTTCTAGGCTTTAACACGAAGTATTCATTTTAGATAGAGACGCGTCTAATTTTCCACCAACACAAAAGTGGGTGCAAGGTTTGAAAACAAATGCAACTGGGTGAACTACTACTGCTTTCAGTCATGAGCACTGGTCAGAAGGACACAAACAATTTAAAAGAAAAGTTGTGAATTAGCATGCATCCTGAGTGTGACCTGCTTAAATCCAGTTTATGCAAACTCTGGGTCCAGCGAAGTGTTCAATCAGAGGGAGCAGAAAATCAAAGTAATGACTAAGTTACAAAGTAAAGAGCAAATAGAATAAGAATATCTACAAATATACATATATATATATACTTTACTTGTTCTTGTGGATTTCCAGCATTTCCTGCATGACACAGCTTTATATACCGACGAGCTGGTTTCAACTTCCTTATCTTTTTTATTTTTTTTTATTTCACCATGCACGACAACAACATATAGTCAATAATAAACTGACACATTGAATCATATCTGGCAAGAAAGATAAAGAAAGGAAAAAGTGCAAATCATGCTTTTTGCTTTCGTTGAAAAGCAAACGCAGCATGACTGACCACAAAATCTGGTGCAATGCTCTGCGGACTGCACAGAATATAAATAGCCCTGGTAGGCACTTTATATTGAACCTGGACTTGCACACTTTGGTCTGAAGATGTCATCAACATGAATATAATTTTGATATCTGCAAGTTATCATGTCTGATCAGAGCTTGTATGTTGATAAAGTGGCACTCATTCACTGAAATCCCCTCTTAACCGCCCAATGCACTATCATCTGACTGCAGAATGTAACACTGATGGCATCGGTCATAGTGGACTTGGCACCGGATAGCACACAGTTACTGTTCTGTTTTTTTTTTTTGCAGAGCAGCAACTGACTGCCATGCTGCCATTTTCAATCACCTTCCAACAAAGGCAATGTAGAAACTAGCCTAACATCCACAGTTGTCCGTGTCACTCATGTGAAAGGAACGACACAGAGATAGTAGCCGTCAATGAATGTGGGCAGGGCACTTTGCAGCGCTGCTATGGCTAGCTACAACGTCCCAAATGACGCACATAGAGCTAGTAAGCTAAGATAGCCTAACACAAAGCTGAAGCTTCAGAAATAATCTGTAATTGGTGTATTTTTATTGTTAGTTATTTTTTTCCTGCAGCGACGGCAGGCATGCATGGCGCAAACGTGGTTTGGGAAAGGGGTGTGGAGAGAGGGAGAGAGAGAGAGAGAGGGGTAACGCGAGGTCAACAACATAGCTTAGCACCCAGCTAGCTAACGTTACGCTCCTCCTGGGTTGAAAGCTCAAGCCTAAAAACTACACCGATTCCGGGCGACCTGTCTGCAAAGGCGTCGGTGCTGCAGTCGTAAGAGAAAAAGCATGAGGACTTACTGCGGAGGTTGTTAACAAGCTCTGCGTGGCTGGCTCCTCCAGATTTCCAGGCCATTATTAAACACACTTTGCGGAGTAAGTATACAGCAGCCGTCAGTGCCGCGCCTGCGCCAACTGTTCTCCCGAGGAAGCTGACAACCTCTAGAGCGGACGGGGGAGCGGTGGAGACGTCACGAGACATTCAAAATGAACGAACACGCCCCCTGATACAAAACAGTGACATTGTTTTTTAATCAAATATTTAATCTTTGACTTTAATGTAAGCCTCGGCTAAAATTTAAACACAGGGAAAAAGCTACATCGCTCACTCAGAGAGTGTATAATCAGATTTGCCGCAGTAACATGGACGGTGGCCGATAGGTGGAGTGCGACACCTGTTAAAGTATTTTATTTATTTATATATTTATTTTAGAGCACAAAGAAAATATGCAAAAAATAGATTCATACAAAAACGGATATTTTTTCTATTTTATATATACTGTATATATGAAATCAAGATATTTTTTTATGAAGTAACAAAAGGGAAAAACAGACGAAGAGCACAAAAAGCCGAGCAGATATAGTTGTACACTTTCTTTAGTCTTTCTATTCATATCTAACATATATTTCAGTGATTGAAGTAGTTGGAAAAATAAGTATATATGAACATGATGAAACAGCGGAACAGCCTTTACACTTACAATTATGAATATGATATTTACCAAAAATAATCACAAGATTGAAATGTTTGCATCCAAGTTGTCCATAAAATAAATACCATTGAAATTAAATGACAGTTTTCCAACCAACTATGAACATCAGACCAAAACATATTAACGTATAAACATTTAGAAAATAAATGGTCAATGGTTTCAGCTTCTGAGGAACAAAAATACAAGGATCCACTTCAAAAAGACCTCAATATGATCCCACACTGAACCTGTGAATAACTGCGAAAAATCGCATGATTTGATAGTTTGACCTTGTTAAGCCACCGTAGTTACGTACAAAGTAGCAGGCGGGCACATTTCGGTTTGTCTCATGAATGCTAAGCTAACACCAGCAATCTTTGACTTCATTTACGGTGTTAGAAACTGTCTCTATGGAGAATATAAATGCGAAGTACGTTTCCCAGAAGATCAGTAAAACCAGATGGAGACTAGTATCGCAGTCGTCTTTGCAGCAACCAGATATCTTTGCGACTGGCTCGTGGGATAACGAGGTTGGCAAATTGTCATTTTACGTTAACAATAATGAGATTGACAAACTTCCTAGAATAATCTGGCAATTTTAGGTGGTTTTGCTAATTGACGTGCTTACGCATATTGTAAATGTCAAAAGGACTCAAGACATATTGTGAATTGTAAGGTGTTATTTCTGCGTACAAACAGTGCATGAAGACATTATTATATTATTAGCTTGAGGGAAGTGTTTAATTAATTAGTCACGTTATTTACTACTAAGCTATAAAGGCTGGCTATGTTAAATGGCTAATTAGTGACGTAAGACATTTTGGGTCGTGTTCTGCTTTACTTCACATTGACAGCAATAAAAACGAGTTAAAATTGGACTTAAATAATGTAAAGATGTGTGTCTATTACAGGTTAACAAGATTTCCTTTTGGTCCATTGGGAATCATGGAAGTTCTGACATGGACGATGGCTTTGAAGGAGACCCACAGCTTCTATGTGAATACAAGCATGATGGAGATGTTCTGGACCTTCAAGTAAGACACTGGTGGGAAAACGATAAAAGGGATTTGTCGCTGTCATTGTATTTTTTGTTTTTACAGAGAACAACACAATACGTTACATTGTTGTACCAAGAAAACAGGATCACACTCGTTAATGTAACATCTGTATTGATTTAAGACAGGATATACCAAATGTTACATTCCTACTTATAATGCGACCAACTTGTAAACTTTATTGATTTTTCTTTCAGTTTTTGGACCAAGACAGAATTGTCACAACGTCGTCAACTGGAGCAGTCACCATCTTTCGCCACCACCAAAACAGTCAGGTACACACTGATCTCTTATTATATCATCATATTATTATTATGATATTTTCACTCTATGCTTCACTTGGCACGCATCATGGCACAAACTGAGGATTTTATACTCAAAATGAAAACATGTTGGAAATATAAACACTGACGCAATTTGGTAATTAGAGATGGTGCATCTTTAAAGTCATTATTGTGCAAGACAAGAATATGTTATGTTAACAAACATGGGGAACTTTAACTCTAACTAGATAAACATTTGACCTGGCTCTTAACCCTGATCTTAGCAAGGAATAACTGGGGGTAGACTTGCCTAGCTTGACGTTTATATTGTATTTCTGAGGTCATCTGCCCATTGTGAAAGTCTGTAAGCATTAGAGATCAATATGTCTTCAAGGTATGTTATTGATGACTTTATAAACCCTAATTTAACATAACTAAAGTCACATCAACAGACTAAGGAATGGCTACACAAATATGTTGCAGTTCAAGGAAGTGAATGTCAGATTAAGTGCTTTACTGGATATAAAGCATACTTGTGGTTTGGTAAAGATTCAGAATGAGCTACAGTATGGCCTCTCTCTCTTGACTGCAGACAATATCAGTTTCTCAGCGCTGGCCGAGAGCGCATCATTACCCTTGTGACAACGCTCCCTGTACCGGTGTTGTGTGCAGCAGTCCTGAGATCGTTACAGTTGGTGAAGATGGCAAAATCATCGTCTTCAGAGCCGACCAGGAGGGAGTGATTCGAGTCATAGGTGAGATTGAGATTAAGCTGCTGTAGCCAGACCATCATGTCACGTTAAAATACAACACCGAATTACAATTCTTAGCATATGATGGCATCTTCGGGCCATGTGAGGAACAGAGAATAATGTGACGAATGTGTTTGTTTTTTATTGGACAGAGAATGCAGACAGCAGCACAATTCATGCGGTGACCTACCTAAGGACAACAGAGATTTTGACGGTGAACTCCATCGGCCAACTCAAGCTGTGGGACTTCAGACAACAGAGCAACGCACCATCCCAGATTCTCTCCTTGTAAGATCTCCTCAGTTGCTACCAACAAAAAGAAATGAGATCTCTAGATTCAGATTTTTATAAGCAGTTATGATATGTTTGTTTTCCTTTCAGGTCCGGGGATAGAGTCCCTCTGCACTGCGTTGACAGACATCCGAACCAACAGCACATTGTTGCCACTGGAGGGCAGGACGGCATGCTCTGTGTCTGGGATGTGCGACAAGGCAGCACACCCTTCTCAATCATGGAGGCACACACTGCTGAAAGTAAGATTTTACTGTGGGCAGAAATGTACAAGTTAATTCTGACGTGGTTGTATATTATATTTCACTTTTGCAATAACTTCTGCTTTGTTTTATTTACGTCTTTCTTTGGTTTTCAGTGTGGGAAGTCCACTTCCACCCAACCAACCCAGATCATCTGTTCACATGCTCAGAGGATGGTTCACTGCTTCACTGGGAGACTTCCACACATTCAGACATGCCCTCCTTCTTACAAGGCAAGTCAAACTGTTCTGTCTGCTATTCAGTCCAAAGAAAAAACTGTGATGTGCTGCCAAGAAACGGCATTTTAAAATGCAACGTAAAAGACACATTTTACTATCAGTGAAAAAGATGTGGGCTTGTCCATTCACAGTGAAGGCTGTTGGGGAAAAGGTGCAAAAAAGATAATATTCTTCTAACATGATGATCAGTTGTTTTTATTAAGTAGCACATAGTGTCGTTAAACTTGTGTTGGATGTTTAATTATTACAATGGCAAAAGACAGGTTTAAATGTTGTAGTTTAAATAGTTATGTGTTTTTGTCTGTTTTAAAGGATTGACATAATTTTAGAAATTGAGGGGTAGAATGTAAATAAGAACATTCACTAAAGTACTGTACATTTTAATTGAGTATTTCCATCTTAATTTCTGTCAACAGTAACCTCTGGCCTCCTAAAGCACTCAGCAGATTGTATCTGAAAATAGCTTCATCAAGAGTTGACAATATTGCAGCACAATCCTATAGAAATCTTAATCACATAATTTTATATCTTTTGGTTTTCAGAGCAATCACAAACAACTGAGTCGCAGCCTAAGGAAGCTACCCACCAAAGAAATAATAGGTTTTTATCATTGTTTTCCAGGTGGCAGGAACAACAGCATGACATCTCGCAGTGCGATGGCCCCGGCTGGAGGGAACCAGTCTCTCATCAACGCCTGGCTGAGCGGAGACTCCAGTAAAGGCCGTCTGGAGACGACCCACATGCTGCCCAGCCAGACGCTGTCTGTCAACAGTTTGGATGTACTTGGACAATGTCTCGTCTGTGGGACTGACGGAGAAGCCATTTTTGTCAATAGACAGGTCCCAGTTTAAAAGAGTTGTTACTGTGCAGGACAAGATGTGGATGAACATCTGTTTGTTTGTCATCAATGGTTCAAGGGTTTTGTAGATAATTCCAAGCAGTGTGTTTCAATGATACAACTTTTGTATGGATTTCATTTCAAACTGTTTTGAATAAGTAAATAAAAGCAAATATCTCATGAGCCCAGTGATGTATTTTGTAGTAAAAAGTAGAAATACACGGTAGATCATGCTTAGATTTAAATTTTACATATTATCTTGTCACATGGGATGCAACACCACCACCCTTAAATCCTTTAGTCCCTTTGTTGTCTTTTTTTTAATACTGTAGTTGCAGTTACTGTATACCTGCATCTTTCACATTAACCTGTCAAATACTGTTGTCACAATCACATTTAGTTCAAATTACCTCAGCTGAACTTAAAACATTCAATTTTCACTTTACCAGTGGTGTCCAGGAGCTACAGGTGAATAGATGGTCAAGAGGTGAAGTGAACAAAAGTTTCATCCGGCTAACTTGTGTGAAGTTTCACTAATAATTTTCCCAGTACTACTTCTGGTATTTCATTTAGAATTAAAAGTCCTAAGATGATTTGAAAGGGCGGTTTTGTGTGCATTCCCGATAATTAGCACTGAGAACTGAGATGATCCTGTTTTTAAATTGAAATTAAACAAAAATATTCCTTACCGATTTGGAGGTTTTCTGAGAAATGTATTAATCTATAACCGATTTATTTTACTTGCATGCGTTCTTTAATTATTTATTTATTATAGATCTCAGCTAACTAATGTGTTTTACTGTGGCATTATTTCTTTTTGAGAATGTGCACATTTACCAAGTGTTATATTTTATTTTCTATGTGATTTACATGATCTTCCGTTTTGGTCTATTTTCTTATTTTTATTTATATTTTACAATTACATTTTTAATGTATGTTATGGTCAAAATGTTCGAGTTTCTGAATATGTCTTTGTGAAGTTGCAGGATTGACATAGTTCCTACAACTATCCTCAGGAGTCCTCGTTTTATTGTGACATGTACAATAACCGGAAATGTGCGTTTCTTCTTTAACACGTTCCTGTTGTGCTTGTCATTCAGACATCCCAGGAATTCAACAAGACGGGGCCAGCCAGCTCAGCATAACAAGGACACTTTTGAGTTAAAATCACGTCATTGACGCCGTGAAAGGTCACGGAAACATCGTTTGTTGTCAAAATAGAAGAAGCGGCCCCCACAGACACTGGTAAGTCGTTGGACATGGCTCACTAACGGTTGCGTTAGCTAGCAGCTAGCGCAACCTGTTGTTGAGCTAGCCTAGCAGAAATGGATGCCTTAAACACACAGGCCGCTGCGGCGTCGTTTGATGTCATGCAAAGGGAAATTGTGAGAAGACCAGTTTGCCGTTCGTGGAGCTCATTGGTGTCTATACGTTGGAGACATTTTGGGGGAATATGACAAACAACGTACACATTTGATTGTACAACACTTGAGAGAGAATTAGCGTTAAAGTAGCGCTCTGTTAGCCTGAGCTGCTAACGACGCTAGCAAGTGGTTCTCTTTGTGAAGGAATAACGTACTTTTTCTTCTGACGCACTCTCTCTTTCTCTACCGTAAAGCTTTAAACAACGAGGTTATTTCATAGTAAAATGGTAAAGCACTGAAACCAAACTTTTTTTTCAGCTATTGGTTCATATGAGTTACCACATTTGGCAGACTGCCTCATAACAATCCTCACATAGCTAATGTGTATCTGTAAGTATCGGCTAATGAATACTTTCCACATGTTTTCTGAACCTGTTCGGTAACATAACACATGTTCATGACGCATTTGTAACTTACATTTCTGTCATCAGCATGCAGATGTGAAGTCAGACACTGGAGACCTCTTGCTACCCTGGACCTAGTGACATCCTCTTCATCCCCTTCGTCGTCGTCTTACATGAAGAGAGGGGAGAAACCCGAAGGATACAGACAGATGAGACCCAAGACATTTCCCACCAGTAACTACAGCGGCAACAGCCAACACATGCTGCAGGAAATACGGAACAGCCTGCGCAATTTGTCCAAACCCTCGGAGCCTCCTAAAGTGGACAATGGAGGTGCTGGGAAATTGCCTCCCGAGGACCCGAGGCAACAAGGGCGCAGCACTAATGGCAAAAACCCCCACCACAAGGCCCTGCAAGAGATCCGCAAATCCCTGCTGCCTTTTGCCAACGAGACCAGTACTTCAGGCTCTGAGGGGAACCAACACATGTCGCTGGAGCTCCCCTGTGCTGGGTTTGAGGAGGTGAGATGAGGTGTTTTCATGTTGGTTTGTTTGTCACAGAGACGGGTTTGTTTTTTTGTTCAAGGATTGTGGAGGAATCTCATTCTTAACATGACTCTGTAATAGAGGATGAACCCTGGCTGCACTTTGTTTACCTGGGAATTATTAGAAGAATGAAAAGTATGCAAAGTGGAATGATGAGCTTGTGCAGGTGACAATACAAAAGTATGGCATGATTTTTGGAAGACTAAAGAGACGCAGAACAACAGCAAAAAATAATAAATATAATCATAAATTTATTTACAGTTCAATTGCATCGTGTCATGCTTCGATTACCCAAACACTAAATGTTAATTGTCCTTTTTTTTTTCTGCCCTTTTAAGCAGAGTAACAGTCGCAGTATGGGGGCTGTTATAGACTACATGGGTAAGGTGAGCTACCAGGACTCGGTGTGGGAACAGATGGCTGTTGCCAACCCCAACACTACAGGTCTGAAAGCCCCAGGTACGTCGGTGTCCACTGGGACTAAATGCTGGGTTTCCTCTTTCATTTTCCATCCAGGCATATTCATCCAATCTGGATATCCAATCTGGAATCTTGATTTGTTAAATAAATGACAATACATGCTGACAAATTGAGAATGAGTCATTGCATCACACAATAGAAGACGTTGACTGGAAATTAGGTTTATGTTGTGATTCATAATGGCAGTAATGGTACGTTCAAGAAAAGACGTTTTGAATACTATTCTGCACCTTTTTATTGAAAAAAAACAAAGGAAATGAGTTCTTACGACAAGTCATGTTCTACAGCTTTGATCCTCCTTTTACATTTGTACGCTATTGTTCCTATTGAGTTTAATAACATTGTACATACCAAGTTAATTACTGAGTCTTGGGATCATGCCTCTGGGGTGAGGGATCACACCGTTCCTGTGTAATGACTTTCTTTTCATCCCTTCACCTCCGTTGTTCTTTGTGTCTGTAGGATCTTCTCACATCCAACAGGCCGTGCTGAGGAGGCCGAGCTGGAAAGGCTCGAAGGAGTCTTTGGTGCCTCGACACGGTCCGCTCATGGTGGATGGGATGATGTACCGCTCCGACAGCCCCGGACCTCCTCCTGCCTTCCCACAGGGTCACCCTGCTAACGGCCAGAGGGCCAATCCTCCACTGCCGCCCCAGGTGCGCAGCGTCACGCCTCCACCAAACCGCGGTGCCATGCCTCCTGCTCTGTCCTGGGACAGCAACCCGTCAACCAAGCGCTACTCTGGCAACATGGATTACCTTTTGCCGCGCATCTCTCCGGTACCCCAGGGGGCCTGGGCTGATGGGTACCAGTCGTCTGCGCCTCAAAACCAGCGTGGGATCAGCCCAGTCCCCGTGGGCCACCAGCCCATCATAATGCAAAGCTCTGGGGGGAATAAGTTCACCTTCCCCTCCAGCTGGTCTCAGAATGGCTCCCCTCAGCCAGACTACATGGCAGGGGGCAGCAGACAGCCTCCTCCTCCTCCTTACCCGGTTAACCAGAGCAGCCGGCACAGTCCCACTGACCAGCAGATGCAGTCCGGAGGACCCGCATCCTCTCCCTCTTACATCAATGGTGGAAATATCCCTCAGTCCATGATGGTTCCCAGCCGGAACAGTCACAACCTCGACATCTACAACATGGGTCCTCCTCAGTCCTGGTCCCAGGCTCCTCTGAACCCCTCCCAGTCTTCTTCTGGCAACCAGGACCTGTCCCCGTCATGGCAGCACAACATAGTGCGCTCTAATTCCTTCAACAACCACCAGCTGAACAGCAGACAAGTCCACCTATCCAGCTCCCAGCCCTCTGCCACCACAGTCACCGCCATCACCCAGGCTCCCATCCTGCAGCCGGTCAAAAGCATACGTGTCCAGAAACCCGAGTTGCACACCGCTGTTGCTCCCACTCACCCTCCATGGATGCAGCAGCCCGTGCCGTCTCCAGCTGCACCTGCTTACCCAGAACCGCCAGCACCCGTACCTCAGATCCCCGTTGTTGCAGAAGCCCCCAGCTACCAGGGGCCCCCTCCGCCCTATCCTAAGCATCTCCTCCAACAGCAAGCAGCACCCGGCCCTCCTGCCTACGATCTAGGGGCCAATAAACTCGGCACGGGCAGAGAGGAGCCCGCCGAAGAGGATGGTGGGGACGGCTCCCGAGACAAGACGGCGGAGAGCACTGCAGCGACGGAGAAGGAGAATAAGCAAATCACGACATCGCCGGTTCCTGTCCGCCGCAACACGAAAGACGAAGAGCCGAGAGGGGAGTCCGGACGAATCGCACTTTATTCGCCCCAGGCCTTCAAGTTCTTCATGGAGCAACACGTGGAGAATATCCTGAAGAACCATCAGCAGAGGATTCGGAGGAGGAAGCAGCTGGAAAGTGAGATGCAAAGGGTGAGAATGTCAACAATCCTGGTCTCATCATTCTCTTAATGAATTGATGTAGATTTTTCTTCCACCCTTTCCAAACTGTATCCGTCTCTGAGATTGTGTCTTTTCATGCTGTTCTGTTTTTTTCTGAGCGGTTCTTCCTATTCTTCTCTCTCCTTGCTGTCACTAACAGCTGACCTAAAAAGGTAAACTGTTTCTCTGCTGTTCTGTGACACAGAATAGTCCTCATACGTCAAGTAAGCTGTTGTTGAAAGCCTGGTCTTTGTATTTGAAATGTACTGTATGCAGCATGTTGGAAACGCATGTCACTCCATCTCACTCATCATGTCACTGCTCATGCATCTTTGTTGTGGACTAAAGTGATTAACTCATGAGGAAAATACAGCATGTTTGCTCTTACAGATCATTTTAAATGTCTTTTGCACTGGTTTCCCCTCTGTGTCTTCAGTTGATTCCCTTGATACCAGTTTAGATCTAACTAGAACTTTTTGAGATTATTTGGGCCATTAAATCACCCTTTTTCTGTCCTGCGCTCAGGTGGGTTTGTCTTCAGAAGCTCAGGAGCAGATGCGTATGATGCTGTGCCAGAAAGAGTCTAACTACATCCGGCTAAAGCGAGCCAAGATGGACAAATCCATGTTCAAGAGAATCAAGACCCTCGGCATCGGAGCCTTCGGTGAGGTGTGCTTGGCCAGAAAAGAGGACACGGGAGCGCTGTACGCCATGAAGACGCTCCGCAAGAAGGACGTGCTGCTGAGGAACCAGGTGGCCCACGTCAAGGCCGAGCGGGACATCCTGGCCGAGGCGGACAACGAGTGGGTGGTGCGTCTCTACTACTCTTTCCAAGACAAAGACAACCTGTACTTTGTCATGGAGTACATTCCCGGAGGGGACATGATGAGCCTCCTCATCCGGCTCGGCATCTTCAAAGAAGAGCTGGCCCAGTTCTACATCGCGGAGCTCACCTGTGCCGTGGAGAGCGTCCACAAGATGGGCTTCATCCACCGGGACATCAAGCCCGACAACATCCTCATAGACCGAGACGGACACATAAAGCTGACCGACTTCGGCCTCTGCACCGGCTTCCGCTGGACGCATGACTCCAAGTATTACCAGAGTGGTGGGTTTCACTTTTTAAATATCGGCTTATGTCTACAGAAGAGCCTGGATTATGATGGTCTACCCAGTACAGTGGCTCCTGTGCTAAATTCAGCATTTCCTCAACATTGTATTCATTAGGTCCAAAAAATATTCTTTAGTAATTGTTGTATAATATGTCAGAAAATGGTTAAATATGCGACTTCTTCATAATACTTGACTTGTCCCAACAACAGTTCAAAACCCCCAAATATTAAGTTTACTATCATAGAAGGATAAGAACTAAATAATATTTACATTTGAGTATGGGACCAGTGAATTTGGGGAGGTCTTGCTGAAAAAATTATCAAATTTGCAGACACATTTTCTGTCTATTGATATTCTCCAAACATGATATAGATCGATGGACCAGAAACCAATTATTAACCATAGACAGTGTATGCACTGTCTATTTAAATGATGTTTATAGATGCTTTATTAAGTATTTAACTGGGTATATAATCGCACATATCTGGTCCATCTATGTAATTGTCTTTACAAGCAATTCCTTAAAGGTCTACAAATTATTTGGTAATCATTAACGAATACTTAATATAGTATTTCAAATATTATAGCGTGTTAACTAAATATTAGTAAACACTATTGATATAAATATCAAGTTCATTTTACCATAAATTTACCATTTAATGATTATGGTTGTTATAAATTGTTGCCTGTAATTGCTAAATGCAAAGACTAAATATAAAACTGTTTAGATGTACAGCTTCTACCTTCATCCAGGTGTCTGCATAGAGTCATGTGTGTTGTTCTGTGTGGACTCTTCTCAGGCGACCACGTGAGGCAGGACAGCATGGACTTCAGTAAGGAGTGGGAGGACCCGAGCAACTGCCGCTGTACAGACCGCCTGAAGCCTCTGGAGAGGAGGAAGGCCCGGCAGCACCAGCGCTGCCTGGCTCATTCACTGGTCGGTACGCCCAACTACATAGCCCCTGAAGTGCTGCTCCGGACAGGTACAGTGGACCACGGCTAGAGGGGGTACTGTGGGATTTACACTTTAGAATCCAGCTGAGAGATGTTGTTCCATTGTGGTTGACGTATAAATGACTTAATCTCCTCCAGGATACACCCAGCTCTGTGATTGGTGGAGTGTCGGCGTCATCTTGTATGAAATGGTCGTTGGACAGCCGCCCTTCTTAGCGACCACGCCCCTGGAGACACAGATGAAGGTATGTGAAGCGCCCGCAGTGAAACGCAACGCTGACGGCGTCGTTTTCTTATTGTCGCCTCTGCCTCTGAACACCAGGTGATCAACTGGAAGAGCATGCTGCACATTCCCCCGCCCGCCAAGCTCAGCCCCGAGGCGTCGGATCTCATCGTTAAGCTGTGCCGCAGCCCCGAAGACCGCCTGGGCAAGAACGGCACGGACGAAATCAAAGCCCACCCTTTCTTCAAGGACATCGACTTCTCCAGCGACCTGCGGCAGCAGGCGGCGCCGTACGTCCCCACCATCGCTCACTCCACGGACACCTCCAACTTCGACCCCGTGGACCCGGAGAAAATGTGGAGCAGCGACAGCGACGGCGAGGACAACCTCAACGACACGCTCAACGGCTGGTTCCGCAACGGCAAGCACCCCGAGCACGCCTTCTACGAGTTCACCTTCCGCCGCTTCTTCGACGACAACGGCCATCCCTACAGCTGCCCCAAGCCCATCGAGTACGAGGGCTACGATGGGGACGAGGCGGACTCCGAGGGCCCGGTGAAGGAGGCTGCCGCTAGCTCAGCCCCTCGGGGCCGGGAACTGGTCTACGTGTAGTACTGGAGGCTAGCTGAGGTGTGTGAGTGAGTGAGTGAGTGAGTGTGTGAGTGAGTGAGTGGTAATACAACGGTACAGCGTTTAAATCCTTGCACATAGGAAAGTATGTTTTTAGGAGCAGCCAGAACACTCTGTAGCACATTTGATCAAAGCTTGTTAGTTCACACTACAAGTTCAAGGAATCGTCAGGGGCATTCTGGGAAAACACGCTTATTTACTTTCTTGGCCAGTTAGATCGATACGATGTATGACGCTGCAGTGAGCTTTATAAGGCTCTGGTAGATTTATTTTATTTATTTTTGGACAGAGACGGGCTACTTGTTTCCCCTGCTTCCAGTCTTAAAGGTAAGCTAGCCTAACCAGCTGATAGCAGCAGTTTCATATTTACCATAAAGAAATGAGAGAGGTATCCATTGTCTCGTCTAAGAGGGCAATTAAGTGAGTTTTCCCTAAATGTTGCTGTTAATATTAGAATAAACTGTACGGTGTTTGCTGCCTGAGGAACAGAAAGCTGAAAATAATCAGGGTGCTCTTTTTAAAAGACTTATCGCAGACTCCCCTTTAAGCCTTAATTTATTTAAGCAGATTGTACCTGGTGACGCTAGTGTAGATGCTGTTTGAGTGTGGGATTTTATTATTTTCATGAAATTACATCTAGTGGTTAAAACTGTCTTAATTTATATCTTAATGTCCGTTGCAATGGGGATTTAGTTTTGTCTCATAGAAGTGTTGCAGGGATAAGTTGCTCTAATTATTCGTTGCTGTGCCTTTTTGTGATTATTTGTTTTTTATCTTTCACCAAATATAAAGAGGGTTAATAATCAGACTTTAGAGTAGCATCACCTGATTGAACTACAGTAGGTTTTTTTTGTTTTATTTTTCTAATTTATACTTAAAATGTATTTATAAATGAAGTTGCATACAGTTGATGTAAATATGTTTCCTGCCCTGTCAGCTGATTGTTTCCTTAGGGCAGGCCCTCTGTAGTGTCCACTGCTGCTGCACTCTGTTAGTGTTTCCTCACAAAGTACAAACACTGACTCGCAGCGCTCTGAATAGATTCTTCACGCTCGTCTCTCAACCAAAGCACTAAATAGGTTTTCACTGTTTCTGTTACAAATACTCACGTTTATAAGATAATGATCACAAGACTGAAATTAGTATTTGTGGAGTTATTACACTAGCAGCCAGAAATGCCTTGCTTTTAGGCACCTAACCACTTCATCCTATTGTACTCTATACGGTGTTGAGGATTCCTGAGAGTATTGAAACTCATTTCCTGTAAAGTAATCTTCTTATTTACCGTTTTTAAGAATCACTACAGCTGACTGTCATGTGTTGATTCATGTCTCTGTACTGGTTTTATTATTTTTAGCTGGACTGATGGACTGACTGAGCTTCCATCACATATCGAGATGATTTTGTGAGCCGCTGTACTTCTTCTTTGTGTTTAGGAAAAGATCTCTGAATGTAGTTCTGGACTTAATGGTGACCACTGGCAGTCTGCACTGGTTTTGTGAGTTTTTTTTTTTTTTTTTTTTTTTTTTTTTTTTTTTTTTGTTGGTTTGTGGTTGTGGTGGGGGGGTTGGGGGGGGGGGGGGGGGGGGGGTAAATAAAGAATGTAAAGAACAAAACGTGTTACTGGCACACTGACCATGTTGTGTTGTTATTGGTATCTTAACAGACGACTGGACTGGTGGTATAAATAAGGGCTGCAACTAATAACCTTCATTATCAATTATTCTGCCACCACGATGATGTCTTTACATTTTAGTTTTTGCAACTTTTTTTGACATGCTATACTATGACCATATATGACTTTGTATAAATGTATAAAATATTGAAAAATGTGATAGTACAGCATGCTGAAAATGGTAAAAAAAAAAAAAAAAAATCTGTAAAATGTTAAACTCATAGTATTGTAGGTCGAAATTAGTTATGAAAACGTCATTGTATAAAAATATTGAAAAAAATGTCAAGTCATAAAAACTGACAGTATAGTCAAAGTCAGTCATAGCATAGGATGTTTTAAAAAGGAGGTAGAAAAGTAATTGTATAGCGTGTTAAATGTAGTAAAAGTCATAACATTTAAAAAAAAAATAATATTGCATGTTGAAATAAGTCATGAAATCGTCATAGTATAGCATGTCGACAAAAGTAGTAAAAATATCCTTGTATAAAATGTTATACTAGGATATTTTTACTATTATCAACATTTTATATTATGACTTCACTTTTTCAACATGTAATACTATTTTGCAACTTTTGACATGCTATATTGTTACTAAATTTGTCGACGTGCTATACTGTGACTTTTTACAACCTTTGTAGACATGTTTACCATGACTTAACATTCTAGTTTACTATGACTTAACATATTCTATGACTTTTGATGAGTTATCGGAATATATTTCGTACTATTTTATGACTTTCTTTGACATACCATAATGTAATTTCTTTTACTTCTCTTCTGACAGAGACCTTTGATAAACAGGAATACAACTTCCCATGTCCCATTCACAAATGCCCTGCTGTACATATAATACATATATATTTGTATGCACTAATGTTGAGAAGATGTTTTCTCCAGCCTGAGTAGCCCCTTTATTTCTGTTGAAAACTGCAACAATGGAATAAGACACCAGTCAAGTAAAACAATGCACCTGCTTTTCATTGCTCACCAAAAAAACACCATTTGTCTTGCCTGCATTATATAAGGGTAAAGATAGGAAATACAGTGGGTACCAGCCATTTGCTAAAATCAAAAAAGTTCATTTTGTTTCTCATTAATGTACACACAGAAAAAAACAGAAATTTATTAAAAAAGAAAAACTGAAATATCACATGGTCATAAGTATTCAGACCCTTTGCTGTGACACTCATATTTAACTCACATGCTGTCCATTTCTTCTGATCCTCCTTGAGATGGTTCTACTCCTTCATTGGAGTCCAGCTGTGTTTAATTAAACTGATTGGACTTGATTAGGAAAGGCACACACCTGTCTATATTAGACCTTACAGCTCACAGTGCATGTCAGAGCAAATGAGAATCATGAGGTCGAAGGAACTGCCCAAGGAGCTCAGAGACAGAATTGTGGCAAGGCACAGATCTGGCCAAGGTTACAAAAGAATTTCTGCAGCACTCAAGGTTCCTAAGAGCACAGTGGCCTCCATAATCCTTAAATGGAAGAAGTTTGGGACGATCAGAACTCTTCCTAGACCTGGCCGTCCAGCCAAACTGAGCAATTGTGGAAGAAGAGCCTTGGTGAGAGAGGTAAAGAAGAACCCAAAGATCACTGTGGCTGAGCTCCAGAGATGCAGTAGGGAGATGGGAGAAAGTTCCACAAAGTCAACTATCACTGCAGCCCTCCACCAGTCGGGGCTTTATGGCAGAGTGGCCGACGGAAGCCTCTCCTCAGTGCAAGACATATGAAAGCCCGCATAGAGTTTGCCAAAAAACACATGAAGGACTCCCAGACTATGAGAAATAAGATTCTCTGGTCTGATGAGACCAAGATTGAACTTTTTGGCGTTAATTCTAAGCGGTATGTGTGGAGAAAACCAGGCACTGCTCATCACCTGCCCAATACAATCCCAACAGTGAAACATGGTGGTGGCAGCATCATGCTATGGGGGTGTTTTTCAGCTGCAGGGACAGGACGACTGGTTGCAATTGAAGGAAAGATGAATGCGGCCAAGTACAGAGATATCCTGGAAGAAAACCTCTTCCAGAGTGCTCTGGACCTCAGACTGGGCCGAAGGTTCACCTTCCAACAAGACAATGACACTAAGCACACAGCTAAAATAACAAAGGAGTGGCTTCGGAACAACTCTGTGACCATTCTTGACTGGCCCAGCCAGAGCCCTGACCTAAACCCAATTGAGCATCTCTGGAGAGACCTGAAAATGGCTGTCCACCAACGTTCACCATCCAACCTGACGGAACTGGAGAGGATCTGCAAGGAAGACTGGCAGAGGATCCCCAAATCCAGGTGTGAAAAACTTGTTGCATCATTCCCAAGAAGACTCATGGCTGTACTAGCTCAAAAGGGTGCTTCTACTCAATACTGAGCAAAGGGTCTGAATACTTATGACCATGTGATATTTCAGTTTCTTTTTTAATAAATTTGCAAAAATTTCTACATTTGTTTTTTTCTGTCAAGATGGGGTGCCGAGTGTACATTAATGAGAAATAAAATTAACTTTTTTGATTTTAGCAAATGGCTGCAATGAAACAGTGAAAAATTTAAAGGGGTCTGAATACTTTCTGTACCCACTGTATTTGAATGTCATATTTTTACTCTTAATCCGTCTGTTCTACTCATTTTAATTTGAGTTTAAACAGGATTATCTGAAAACATTTTATACTGGTATTTAAGTGGCTTGACCCTAATTGCATAAATGGAGTTTACTCAACTCTCACCATATAAAAAACTTGCAATTCCTTATATTCCATCATGTGACTGAGTGAAGTTTAAGTCTGACTGAAGGCTGTTCATCTAGTGAGGAGACATTTACTGATATTCGCCGTTGCTGCCAGCCTCAGAAGACACCTTGCGTAACTAAACAAAGAAATTCAGTCCAATTATCTGGCTGGCTGAGCAAAGTTATTAATGATTAATGACAACACTGACCGCATTCCACTGATGTCAGCCTGTAACAGGGTCTTGTGATCGTGCAGCTCATTGCTATCGCTTACTGGGACACCAATATGTATCAGACCCATCATCAGTGTCATTAGATACACTTTGATACGTGTAAATGTCTCCTGTGAAATATAGATAGATATAGATATACTCAGGACGTTTGAGAGTACTTTGCAGATGTCAAAGATTTCTAGATCTGACTTGAGTGGACAACATCAAATGAAACATCATTGAGGACAAACAAGTTAACTTAAACAAGCTTATTTTTAATGGATCTGCAAAACTGTTTGAATTTCCAAAGAGAACTTCTGTCCCTCCCGCCCACAGTTACCCCGTGCAGAACGTTACACAATGTTACAGAACGACTCCAACCCAAAGAAATCTGCATGCAGGAGAGAAAAAAAAAAACACAACCCAAATAGGGGAAAAGAAATAAGAGTAAAGTAAATCATACAGATAAAAATAAAACATCAATAAACAGGACAAACTGTATAATGCCGTTCTCTTGGCCGGAGGAGAAATTCAAACCGTCTGCTTCAGTTTTGGCGTCCTCATGACAGGAGCCCCAACTGACAGAGTATTAAACAGTAATTTCATTGGGTGGATGTGGCTCCGCCCACCACACAGCCCCGCCCCTGTCTTCCATATAAGGCACAGGACAAAATAAACCCCCACATACAAAAGGAGCTAGCCACGCCTCTGTCACTTGGTAAATTGTAAATGACCAAATACTGTTAGACAACAGAAACCCCACTAAGTGTACAAAATGTTAATCCTACATTTGTCTTTTTTTTTTGGATTTTATTTTGATTTCCTCTGACTGAAGGTGAGTGCTGTGGGTGGGGGTGTGGTTAAGGGTGGTTGAAGGAGTCCAACCAGGTGAGCTCAGGCAAAAAAAATATTAATAATATGAGCTTGTCTTTTCACGCTTTTTTACTTCTGCTTTTTTTTAACAACTTTTAAAATAAAAGACAAGAAACGTGACTGGATTTCTCTTTTTATCAGAAATAAAAATGACGATCAGATGGAGGAATATGGTGGAGGAGGGGGATTAGACGAGTGAAGTAGTTTATTGTTTTATTCTGATAAAGAGACAGACAGAGAGTGTCAGTGTGCAAGAAAACTCATGAGACATATTAGAGAGCGAGAGGGTTAGAGTTAGCAGTTAGAGAGGGAGAGAGAGAATATGTGTGTGTGTGCGCGCGCGTTAGTATGCGTGTAACCGAGGAGTTGTTCAACTACAGCACTTGCTCTTCCAGCCTGTGACTCCGCCTCCGCTGCTGATGTCGACGTTTTCACTGTTGGGCTCTTTTACAGGCGTCTGTCGAATAAAACACACGAAGGATACATCTTATTAAATACTTTATTCTAGTGCGTGTCTGAGTGGACTTAGAAAACATACAATTTGTTTACAATTTTCAATTTTACATTGACTAGATTTTATTGACTTGATAAACAAAAGTACCCTCCAATGAGTGAAGCTATTAATGGCCTTTATAAAAGCCTTTGTGTTGTTTCCGTTGTAGTGAAATGTAACGCATAAACACTGTCAGAGACTGCCGAGCACACACGCACCTTTCTGAGGATGTCTTCTGCTAACGTGAGGAAAGCCTTCTCGATGCTGACGTTGGCCTTAGCACTCGTCTCAAAAAACCTAATGCCGTGCTCCCTCGCAATCTGTGGAGAAGAGAGTCACAAAGATGGGGGGGGGGGGGGAGAGAGTTTAGGAAGGTTCAGTCCAGAAATAAAGTGTGCAGAACAGAGATCAGGTATCGCACACACACACTTCCATTCTAGTCCGGTGTGTGTGCGCGAGTAAACGGATCTGTATCTGATGTTGCTAAATCTGCAGACTGACTCGTCACTGCTAGTTTGCGTTGGCACAATGAGCCGGAGCTCTTGAACACTCGCACGTTATCGCTGATTAGATCGCCTCCTCAAGGACACGCAACATGTACAGCTGAGTGACGTCACCTCGATCGCCGCCGCCCAAAAGAGGAAATAAGCAAACATGAATCCTGGTGATCCCATTTCGTGTGTTTTGATACGTGAAAATTTTGGGGTAAAGCGGTACCGTTGCCACTGAACTGCTAGGTGACTATTTAGATTTTGTATGACTGAAGTCTACCTCCGGGCTTTGTTTCAATAAGGTACAAATATGTGTCAAGAAAGTGAATTTGTCCCCATATTGTAATGTCTACTGACCACCAGCAGCTCAAACGGACTGAGCTACAACCCACATACAGCATCAACCATGGTGGCCTTGATCTTTCTACTATAGTGTAGACGTGCGTCGTTATTCAGACAAACTTTAAAGCGAGTGGCAAGATTGTGTGAGAACATGAGGGTTTCTGAGGTTCACCCATGTCTTGCATGCCAGGTCTGCAATTTCTCTGGAGACTCAAATATAATCTCATATTCATTAAAAAACACACATTTAGAGTAAGATAACGAACACCTTTAATATGAGTTACAGCTAAAAGATATGTCAGTGTTACGTGTCCCGTTGTTACAAAGCCTCTGGTGTTGTTGGCTTGCTCAAGGTCCGTGTGTACCTGCAATATGGGACGCTACCAAAACACGTTTCATCACTAAGTCTACATATTCCCTTCTTCTTTTCTATTTGTTTTAGAGGGCTTGTGTGCAAAGACACTGAGTAGTTGTCGTCACAAGTTGTTCACAGTACACAGAATAAGCCTTCATGGCATGTAAAGGCAAACAGCAGGTTACTGCACCGTCTACAAGGAGGCACCGTTTAGTTGTCACTGAGCCGACACTTTACGGTATTCAGGGGAGGTTTTCTAGATTCACGTCTATGTGCTGTCGGCGAAGTAACAGGACAACTCATTGAAACGCAGAACCGTGATTACGACTGGATTGCACCATCTCACCTGCTCCCCCTTGGCTTTTGGTACGACCCTCTTGTCCTCCATGTCACACTTGTTGCCTAGCAGCATCCTCTCAACGTCCTCATTTGCGTGCTGAAAAAGTAAAAAGAAGAAAAAGTAGATTATTAGATTCTTTTTGTTATCTGGGACTTCACCCTCACAACACGTGATCCCACAAGTCAAGCGATCAATCGACTCAATGAAACACACACAACCAGCGCAGGACGCACAAGCTATTGAATAGGTACCATCATGATGAGGCCTTTGGTCTAGAAAATGTAACATAAATAGTGAAAACTGCCCCATTAATGTAGAATGACAAAATTAAAAAAAATGGGAAAATTGGGGCATTTGTGTTTGTAAAGATTATTTAAATGACTTTTTAAAATAGATTTTCTGTCAATCACCCAATTGATTCATGGACTTATTGTTTAAGCTCTAATAATTTTTAAACTCTGGCGAGATCCATCCATCCATCCATTTTCCTCCGCTTATCCGGGGTCGGGTCGCGGTGGCAACAGGCCAAGCAGGCTGACCCAGACTTCCCTCTCACCGGCAACATGTTCCAGCTCATTCTGGGGGATCCCGAGGCGTTCCCAGTCCAGCTGGGAGATGTAATCCCTCCAGCGTGTTCTGGGTCTTCCCCGGGGTCTCTTCCCAGTTGGACGTGCCTGGAAAACCTCCAGTGGGAGGCGTCCAGGAGGCATCCTAATTAGATGCCCGAACCACCTCAGCTGACTCCTTTCGACGCGAAGGAGTAGCGGCTCTACTCCAAGCTCCCTCCTGATGACTGAGCTCCTTACCCTATCTCTAAGGCTGAGCCCGGCCACCCTACGGAGGAAGCTCATTTCGGCCGCTTGTAGCCGCGACCTCGTCCTTTCGGTCACGACCCAGAGTTCGTGACCATAGGTGAGGGTAGGAACGTAGACCGAGTGGTAAATTGAGAGCTTTGCCTTCCGGCTCAGCTCCCTCTTCACCAAGACGGTCCGGTGCAGCGCCTGCTTTACTGCTGCAGCGCCTGCTTTACTGCTGCAGCCGCACCAATCCGTCTGTCGATCTCCCGCGCCATCTTACCCTCACTCGTGAACAAGACCCCGAGATACTTGAACTCCTTCGCTTGAGGTAGGCACTCCGTCCCCACCTGGAGGGAGCAATCCACCGGTTTCTGGCAGAGCACCATGGCCTCAGATTTGGAGGTGCTAACTCTCATCCCCACTGCTTTACACTCGGCTGCAAACCGCCCCAGTGTATGCTGGAGGTCACGACCCGAGGAGGCCAACAGGACCACATCATCTGCAAACAGCAGAGAGGCGATCCCGAGACCCCCGAACCTGACGTTCTCCACCCCCAGGCTGCGCCTAGATATCCTGTCCCTGAAAGTCACGAACAGGACCGGAGACAAAGGGCAGCCCTGGCGGAGGCCAACACCCACCGGGAACGTGTCTGACTTATTGCCGAGAATGCGGACACAGCTCCTACTGCAGTCGTACAGAGACCGGATCGCCCGTTGTAACAGGTTCGGCACCCCATACTCCCGCAGCACCCCCCACAAGAACCCCCGAGGGACCCGGTCGAAAGCCTTCTCCAAGTCCACAAAGCACATGTAGACTGGTTGGGCAAACTCCCAGAACCCCTCCAGTAGTCTTGCGAGGGTAAAGAGCTGGTCCACTGTTCCACGGTCGGGACGGAATCCGCATTGCTCCTCTTGAATCTGAGGTTCGACAAACGGTCAGAGCCTCCTTTCCAGCACCCTGGCAAGATCGATTGATCTTATTTTTTTAAATGTTTGTCTATTAAATATCAGGAAAAATGATTCAAAAGATCAAGGTAATGTATTCAAATGTCTTGTTTTGCCAAACCAACAGCCTAAAACCCAAAGATGCTCCGTTCACCAACGTGTGTGACAGAAGACCGGCATCAAACCCTCACATTTGATCAAATAAATACAACTTAGATGATTATTCAATTATCAAAATAGCTGCAGATTAAATTTCCGTTGATCAAATAATCAATGAAATGACTACTCTCTGCAGCCCTAACATAAGATCAAAGCACTCTTTGGTTGAAGGGGTCACAACTTATACACAAGCGTGCAGGAGACGTGGCACTAGATATCTCTTTGTTTTAAGGGACTGCCTGCCAACAAAAAGGTTGGAAACCACTGATCCAGACTGTATTCAGATTACTGTTGAAGGGTTCTTTAAACCCTCCGTGTAGCCAACATCTAGCCGCCACACAAGAGCGAGGCCGAGTTCTTAGTGAGCAGGAAATGCTCGGTGTTTCCTTTCCTTGACCGGACTCAAAGCTCCTAAACAGCGCGGGTGAGAACGTTCCAGACAGGAACCGTGCCCGGCGGTCTCACACCTTCATACTTATCACCCAGGACCACTGGAGAGAGATAATATACCAGCTATGGGTTGTAACAGTCACAGTAATTAACGTGACGTCTTTGATCTGGCACGGATCCCACAAGATTACTCACAGAATAGAATAATCAGTGCGGAGATTAAAAGTAAGATAGTACACACAAAGACCCTTTTCACCAAACAATGAGAGTAATTATAAAGAAAACTGCTGACGTGTTTTTATATGCCGAGCTCGACTGGCAGATGTGTGGACAGGAAGACCAGTACTTGATTACAATTATGAGGTACTTGTGCTTTACTTGAGCATTTCCATTTTTTGTAACTAAATACTATTATTCCACTCCGTCAAGTTCATACCGTGTACTTCCTATAACTTTAATAACTTCCACCCCTACTTTGTCTGGAGTTAAAATTCTGCTTCCATTGATATTCACACAGTGTAACAGAACAGCCCCTCGGTCTCTCACAATGAGCCGGATGGAAGCAGACATCTCCTCAGCTGATCGGCTAGTTACCAACGTTGGCTGCATTCCGAGCATTTAAGTCCCTTTGTCATTATGCTAAAGCTATAGTTAAAAAAGAGTGCTAACACAAAACACCCTGTGAACATCTCTGATGCAACATGATGCTATGGACTCACTGTGGAGAGTGTGTGTGTGTGTGTGTGTGTGTGTGTGTGTATGTGTGTTACCTCGTCAATGTTGCGCAGCCACTTGCTGATGTTTTCGAAGCTCTTGGCGTTGGTTATGTCGTAGACCAGCATGATGCCCATGGCTCCTCTGTAGTAGGAGGTGGTGATGGTGTGGAACCGTTCCTGGCCCGCTGTGTCCCTATACACACACACATGCAAAGAAACACACCGCTGTTATTGGCTTGTGTTCCCCATTTTGTTTGTATAAATTCAAACGATAAATCGGTCCCGTAAGTCATATTTAACTGCATCATGGCAACAAAAAAAAGGACCCAAAATATATGTAGATTGTTTGCTTTCCGTGAGTGCAAAACACAACACATAGTACCATAAATGTTGACATTTTAGCTTGAGCCAGCAAATAGCTAATACTATTTGCTGGCTCAATATAATACTATTTAGAACAGTTTAGAGGTGTCTCAGTGAAACGGGAGTTAAGATTTATCAGACTGCTCGCGTTAATTCTTCAAGAAGTAGACGTGTGCAGTAAAACAGAACAATGTGGGAGAAGAGAATCGAAATCGAATCAATCGGCAGACACATTAGCTCATTACATTAGTGTGTGATCTCTACCTGGCCTGCTTAGTGCTTCCTCCGCTCAACTATGATACATGTGACTTTGGGAGCTGTTTCAATGAGACACTCACAATAACAGCTGGCTGTGCAAAAGTTTGCTTTTACTGAATCTGGTGAGCATGATCACATCTTTACTGGTTCAGGCTAAAGAGTGAATATTAAATCCAGACGAAATGTGCTTGGACAGGATGAGGAGAAGAGGACAGAGAAGATTCTTTTACTTCATGATCTAGATTATTTATAGAGATAGATAGATAGATATCTCTTTTACAAGTAAATTTACTGAAGTACAATACTGATGCTCCTCTCTACTTCACTACATTTCAGAGGTCAACCTTGTACTTTTTACTGAATGTATTTAGAATGAATACCCAACAGTATTTAGCTCTATTACAGTCAGCTACAACATTAAAACATCAATAATAATCATCTAATACTATAACTTAGAATAATGTAACAACTAAAGAGCCCATTTGACTGCTCGGTGAGTACTTTTACTTTTATATATTAAGTACATTTTCCTGACTATATACTTAAATACATACTTTTAATTAAGTAAGATGTTGAATGCAGGACTTTTACTTCACAAAGTGTTGTTTTGTTAAATAGTGGCGCCACTACTTTTCCACCACCGGTGTTAATCAATGACATTGGCTCTGTCTCTCTCCGCACTTTCACCATCGGTCAGAACCTCGCATTGTTTAATTAGTCTCAAACCACGCACGTGAAGCCCAGGCGCACGCACGTGAAGCCCAGGCGCACGCACGTGAAGCCCAGGCGCACGCACGTGATACGAGCGGGGCTGCATCCTCGTGACGGAGCGTCTCTGATGAGCGTTCACGGGTCTGTGACGAGAGCTGTGATTGCTTATAATTACCTCTCGCTGTGAAAACATCTCCTTCAGACGACTATTAAAGTTTCAAACCAAAACTACATTTTACAGGATTGTACGGTAACTAAAGGGAACCTCCGTACGTCATTGCTGCCAAATTTACCAGCTCTCATCCTGCTGCTGATTTCAACATGTGTTGTTAAAAATGTAGCATTGTGAAGAAAGCATTTAGCTTATCTCCAGATTTTGACGATGTAGAAACTGTAATTAATCCGCGGTTCACATGAATCGCTGGTCATTTTCTATATCCAAAATGCTGCCACGCTGCCGATTTAAGGCACTTTTTTGGCAGATATAAGGCTGGCATGTCCCTTCCTTGTCATTTTTCACACACACGTGTTACGTGACTCACACAAGCGGAGATTTCACCGCACAAACAAACATGTCTTGCTGGACTTGTTTTCACAAGGAAACAATACAGGGCTCGTGACACCGTGGCTTCTTCAATTTTTACGGTTATGAAACTACGTAATGACATTAACAAATCAGGGTTATGGCAAAACTGGTTAATCCCAGCATCCCTACAATGTTGTTTGACCGTTTTTTTTAATTTTTCGTTTACTTTAACGGCCATGTATGAGGGAGAAAATGGCTCCACATAGCACTACAGACTGTCACGTCAGTGAATCGTTGCCCGACACCAGCAGCTACGGACTGCAATGACAGCCCTGCAGCAGACCTCCCGATGGACTGATGAACATTTCCTGTTCCAGCATATTTCTGGGCTTGAGGGAGGTTTGTCAAACAGATGTTCCACTATGATATAACAGGAGAGGCTGACGTGAAAGACGATTCTCGCATCGTTAGTGGATTTTTCGGCCCAGTACTCCTGTAAACACAATACCCTGACCTGGGTATGAAGTAGGCCTGCGCGACATGAGGGAAATCTATATTGCGCACAGGATATGACTCGCAATAAATAAATATCAAAGTGTGCATATTAGTTGTACATCTATGTCAGTGTTGTTGTCGTTAGATTCAGTACTGGATTACAATTTAATACTTTAAATATAACTAGGAAAGTCATGGTATGAAGTCAGTATCTTACTGGGAATAAATCTAAAATGACTAAAGTTGAGACAGAATGAAGAGCACAGACATCAGTCGGTGTCTGATGTCATCTGATGTGAATCACTGACTGCAGGGGGAGGAGCTGCTTTGTCTCAGCTAGCAGCTAGGTTTGCAAGAATTTGTTCAATTTTAAGATACGTGGGACACGAAGCTAAACAGACAGCTTATGTTTCAGTTTGTACAGCCACGGGTTATGTTGCATCTATACTTTATGAAGGTAATGAAATAATAACACGGAGGCTCTGTAGTCTGCACCAAGACGGCAACGACGTTATTACTCCGACAACAGCAGTGCGTCACCGCTTCCCCCGTCACAATAAATCCTCGGACACAGACACTGGAACACTGCTGTCGAAAGGGAACTCAAAGTCAGTCAACAAAATAACGTACACTCGTTTGTAACTATTCGCTATTAGCCGAGCTAGCGAGCTGCACTTGTGGGAACAAAGCGGCGGTGGATCGCTTTACGAACGTCTATATCAGGTCTATTATAAATGATTGGCTTTATACTTGCGAAGCTTTTTAATTGCACTTACTTAAGAGTAACGAGCGTAGTTGTTGTCAACTTGCGTACCATGGCCTATCTGATCTGCGGGAGAGGCTTCAGCGTGATAACGAATGCTACGGCCTTTAGCCCCGGGGGCCTGTTTAATACCGGGTTTAGGTAACCATGCCTAAATAAAATGATTTTTCGTATTCTTTGAGCTTCAGGCAGTGTTTTCCTTCATGTTTATCGTGCACGCACATATCGCGATCACGATGACAACACATTTTACCAGTCAGCACTAGTATACAAACTGTATTGACTCACCAGATCTGTAGTTTGATCTTCTTTCCTTGTAATTCAACAGTTTTGATCTTGAAGTCTATTCCTGTAGAAAAAAAGAGAAACATATCAGCAAACGCAGCCACCAAAAATATATGAACAACTAGCACATGGAGCCCTGACAATGGGAGACAGAGATGAATAACGTGTGTTTCCATCGGAGAGACAATAACATTATCTCTTCCCCTATTCTGCAATATCATGCCCAGACTTTGAGCCCATCAACGCACAGCTGGGGAGATCAGCAGCTGGATAACAAATCAGGTTACTGAGAGAAGTCAGGTGACCACAGGGAAACCAAGAACGTGTTTAGATACTGTGCCATAACCTTGTGTCGTGTAAAACCTATGCTTAAAAGCAGCTGGTTAGAAAGATTATATTATACATATTTCCAGTGTATTAGTATTTATTTTTAGTTGGAGCATTTTGGACTCATGCTGCATGAGAGGACAAGCTGTGGTGGGAAAGCACATCGTTTTTCCTATGAAACCAAATTCTTTCAGTTTCCCTTTAGTTTGGACTTTGGCTTTAATTATCTTTCGATATGAGGACGCTCCACTGCGTGTTCTTTCGGGAGGTTGGCTGCCATCACGTCTTTCTTGGCCAACTGTCTCATATTCTATCCTACTTATTATCATTTTTAATCTGTATTCTATCTTGACTCGTAAAAAAAAAAAAAAAAAAAAAAAAAAAAAAAAATTCTATCTGAAACAGGCAATTAATTAAAAGTACTGACAACTACCCGGGTGGCTGCTTTTCTCTGTTTCATATCAACGTCAACTGGAAATCTTTGTTTATTAGAGAGTTGGTAACAACACAGGATTGGTGAAGACGTCATCGTCAAGATGAAACATTTGCTTGAAAAGTGACTCAATAGATCAATAATCAACAGATCACTCAATAATGAAAACAAGCATTATTTGCAGTCACTGCCAGCTTCTAGTTGCAGCTAAAGAGTATAAATCGCAAGGTGCAAAAGTGAACTGTACACAAACAATTCTAATGATTTATTGTTATGTTTATAATATTTAGTAAGGTTTAGGAGATGATCATCTTTGTCATAATCATGAAACCCAAGAGGAGGCCAATTGCAAAGGGGGCGATTCATGAACGTTTACGGTTTTCTGACTTTTCCAGTTAAATAGTGAGCTTTCAAGTTCAGCTCTGGTCAGATATTGCGGTTGGTTTAAAAAGTCCCAAGAAACAGCTGTGCTCTAGGTGGAGCAGGGCCACAGAATAATGAAGGAACTGGCTGCCAATGTGTGACTCACTAAATAACATGCACTCCCCAGAGAGAGGGAGAGGGAGAGGGGGGGGGGCAGAAAGATGTAGTTGGACAGGAACAAAAAGAGAGAAAGAGGAGAGGAAGATTCCTGCAGATAAGACTTACTAAGCCCAGTCTACGTTGACATGTCTTAAAAACATTCAATAGAATCAATTAATAATATAAAACGGTAAACGGTGTGTTTTCTTGACTACTATGACTGAAAGTTGTGTTCTTAAAAATCAAGCTCAGCCGGGATCGACCCAATATTAAATGTCTTCCTCCGAGCGAGAAGTTAGTTTGTTTTCCCCTGGTGAGGTGCACTCTCATGAAATCAAGAAAATATGTGCATTGTGCAATCACACGTTAACCCGATCGCTGGAAAACGGGCACACTCCAACACGAGAGGACGACACTTGAATTGGACATCTTTAACACAAAGTACGTGGTTTACGGTCAGTTCTCTTTTAAGCAAACCCAGGGGAACCATTCCTTCACCAACAAGGAATTCCACTGCAGCCATCACCAGTTTCCATGCAAAATTCATGACGCGTTGTGGAAATTTCAGATGGCAACATCATGCATATTCGGTCCTCTTAATATGCATAACCTCAAACATACAAGGAGGAAGAGAGAGAGAGATTGGCAATGAGGATGAGTGAGGGCGGGGGTTTCCAGTGGGGGTATTTTGAGAAGCAGCTGTGCATCCGTGTCTCCAAAGGTATGAGCACTGTGTCAGAAGATGACCCTCCTGTTTCATATGTCCTGTTCTGCTGCTTCTTCACAAAGTCCTGTTCCTGCCAAGACTTTACACTTTTGACATCTTGGGCTGTACCCGATTTCTGTGTCGGGCCTTTTCTAAAAAGCTAAGGGGTAGAATCTTTGCAAACTTTGGACTGTACATTTTGTACTTTCTGCACTACGGCGCTATGAAGCAATCACTTAAGTAGTTTGTTGCGTCCACTGGACTTATAGTAGGGTCTGCCAAAACATTAGCAATGATCGCAGCCCCAAAAAGTACCGGGCAGAAAGACAAACCCACTAATTATAAAGCAAGCAAAGCAAAAGTACATCACCATCGCGCACCAAGCAGCAGAATAATGGATGATGAAAATGATCGTATTACATCAAGACACAGTAAGCTGATCAAAGATCATTTGACTGAAAGGCAGAGCATCAAGTGCTGAAAATACTTTTTTACAAAAGTAGAACCAACAAGCAATGTCTAAAAATCTATTGTTACAAATCTGAGTTCCCTGATCACTACAGGTCTGATTGTATGGTGTGCTGAGAGGTTATGTTGTCCATATTCTTAACTTTTGATCAGATTGCAGGCTGCTTTGTTTTGAATACAGATGTAGAACAAAGACAAGTTGAGACAGACGCTCATGACTGTGTTGTAGCTTGTAAAGGGCACAGCTCTCGAAGGGAAAACTTTTTACTAAACATCCTGACATGAGCACAGTTATGCTGGTTTGTGATTCCTTGTCAGTATCTCTCAGGTCTTGCGGAGAAGTTACAACACTATGATTGTCCCCGTTTCTTGTCATGTTGATACTTTCAAATTACTTGTAAACAAAAGATTTTGGATACATTAGAGGAGAAACAAAGCATGTAATATGGATCCTATATTTAAATGTCATCCTTGATGTGAAACAGGTTCTTTTTAAGCTTATTCCTAAATTTTGCTTCAGGTATGTTGAATATGCCGAGTTGTTCTAGCACGTAAGGGAAAAAGCACCTGCAATTACTGCAAACACTTACAGGCATTGATCTACTCGACATACTAATCAACTTCGCAATTAAAGCAACGCTGCACAGAGCAAAGGTCACTGCTGGTCTTTGACTGCAACTGACCATCACACACAGCCTCCTCTTAAACTGGCTGAACTCTCATATGGTAGCAGACTACGACTACATTTTGAGAGCGTAATACAAGACAATCACTATAGGCCGAGACAGAGCAAAACAAAACCGTAAACAAACAGATGTGACAGCCAGCTTTGCAACAGAGTGATTGTTCATTGCTGAACCTCAACAAATGTAATCCAGACTGGAAGCCACTGGGAACACTGTCGCCCCATTATGGTTGTGTGTTCTTAGACATACAGCCAAGTTGTCAACACTTGAAGTTGCAAAAAAGCGTGGCTTGAAATTGAAGCGTGGCTAAAATGAAGAGATCAAGGATATAATGACAGTGCATTGCAAAAAATCAGCTTCATGTGGTTACGCAAAGCACATGTTAGATTATTACTCAGCTCTGATCTTGGGCAACAGGAGTAAATGGAGCCGTGCAGGGATTTGACATAGTTTAACACTTGACTCATGTGAGCCTGATGTTGGAGGCATGCGTAGAAGACCGAAAGAGGGGGGGCTGTTGATGCCACCATGATGAATTGTTTATGGTCGTCTTTGGAGCGGTCATGGAAGTTACAAGTACATTTACTGAAGTAGTCAGGTACTTCTATTTAACTATTTTTTTAAGTAGCAGTTTTTGCAACTTTATTTTTCTACTGTACAACAATTCAGAGGGAATTATTTTACTTTATACTCTACTTAAATTACTCGCCAACTAGAGACTAGTAGGTTCGTGGCAGATTCAGATTTTACATTAAAATCATATGATTTAATAAAACTTTGTTTACACATTGATGTAGCAGTAACGACAGTATATGATAATCTGAAACCAAAACATCTTCAGTTCTCGGTACTTTCCTTTCGACACTTCAAGTTAATTTCACTAATAAAACTCGAGTAGTTTAACAGGACTTTTATATGTAATTAAATGTTTATATTATGTATTGCTTCTTTTACGTCAGTAAAATAACTGATTACCTAATAAATGCTAATGAAGTGGCATCTATCATTCTGAACAAAGATCCAGAGATTAATTACCTTTAATGTATAATTCATTACATGGACAAATGCACATAGTTATGAACGTTTATATTGAAAAGTAAACACTTCTCAGTTACAGGGGGAGATTGTGTTTAAGTACTTTTGTAATAGCAGCACGGCCTTGTACCGACACCCGGTGCTAGCCTCGTTAGCTCACTAGCCACTGGGTCAAGTGCCATGACAGCAACCTAATGGTGGCACCGAAACCGGTTTTACTTCGCCATTGCTAACGGGCTGAACCAAAATAACAGCCACGTGTGATATTAAAGCTGCTGTCATTTTGAAACACGGGTGACTGTGGTTCAAGCTAAGAGCTCATATAAAGTGGCACAGGTAACGCTAGCTGTCCAGGAGAGGCCTGGAGAGAAGCTAACGTGCTGCTAGCATACCGGCTAACCTAATAACGCTGTGTCCTGCCGACCCTTTACAGCTGCAGCAGAAAGTCAGGCGAGTCTCCACAGCTATTGGAAATCAGACACACCTGTACCAACACATCATCCGGTATATGTAGTCTTCTTACCTATGGTGGAAATGAAGGTGGTGTTGAAGGCGTCGTCAGAGAAGCGGAACAGCACACAGGTCTTCCCCACGCCCGAGTCTCCGATCAGAAGCAGCTTGAACAGCAAGTCGTACGTCTTCTTCGCCATTGAAGAACAGCTTGTGTTGACCCAGACAAGTTACAAAAAAAACAACCCCGGATAACCTAGCACGCCTGTGTGGAGTCTAAAGCCAGCTCCTTTGACCAAACTGCCCCGCTTCTCTTGACTGTGAAACAGTTCACAATCTGGGATTTGTTGATTAGCTTGGCAAGCTAGTTGGCTAAATACCTCCCAAATAACGTGTCCGAGAAGTTCAATTTCCCAAGCCCGACTGTTTCCCCCCTTACAGCATGAGAAAAGAAAGCAAAAAATAGGATCTCCTCCCGTGTGATTCCTCTTTTCCACTCTCTTTTCTCCCACACAGTCGGGACAAAATGGCTCCTCTCTCTCGACTCACTCTTTCTTCAAAACTAACGCGAGCTAATTCAAATTCTCAGCACGCCCCGTCATTCCACAGCCCTGCCACACGCAGGACAAGGAAGAATTAGAAAAATATCTCAACGTTGAAGTCTGTTGAATTCACAGTCTTTTCGGAGTTATTTCGCCTTTTTTTCTGGAGAGATTACAACCGAAATATAGACGACCGCCGTCGCCTTCGAATGGGAGCCTCCACGGCGACACCCTAGACCACAGACACGCCTTTCTCCCGCCCCTTCTGTCAAAACCCACGCCTCTGATTGGCCGACTCCGCTGTCATTTATTTGAATACTCAATTATGATTGGCTACACTCGCACACATCGAGGGGTGAAAAAGGCGTATTTTAGATTGACAGAAAGGGCAAACGTTACTGCGTAAATTGGTCGGACATTTAGGCTCAATGCTCCCATCACATCACAGTATAAAAACGCATCTAATGATCCAATATGGCGACCAGTTTCTTGCGGATCTTTCATAGCCGGGTGCGTGTTTCAGTTTTCATGGCAAGCTGACATTTGATGCGGTGACTATCCCAGCTGTGAGTCAGGCAAAGTGATGTCATATATAAGTACTTGTGTGCTTGTTACGGGCGTTTCCCACATCCTCTGCCCTGTGAACTGTGAGGACATGTATCCTCTAAAGTCCTTTAATAACTGGAAACACACCGAGAGAGTATGCATGTACACAGCATTAATGTGTGTGCTCTTTGTGTGTGTGTTTGTGAGAGTGTGTGACTCTTTCCTTCTTCCGCTTGTCAGAGTTCGACTCTCAGACACTCCTTAGGAATGTTGAGTATGCCCTGCTTTCTACTGCCGAGTACAGACTTGCCACAAAAGTAAAAAAGAAAGACGGACGTAAAGAAGGGGGGGAACTAAAGCAATACAGAAAGAAAGATATAATGAAATTAAATGAATAACGACATAATGATAGGTAGAAAGAAATAGGAGTAAGTCAGAGAAAAGGAAAGAATACAGCGACCAGTTCTGTGCTGCAGTGTCTTGTTAACATGCCATTAGGGGGCAACAGAGTAATTTAAAGACATAGTCAGCAGTTCACTAACTATCAACAATTGTCAATAAGTGAAATATCACGAATGACGTGTACATGCCACGTGGGGAAATCAGGAAGATCTTCTTCATCCTCTGGGAACCATGAATGTCTGTACAATACCACATTAATCATCTAATGTTTTCATTGAAAAGTTCAGAGCCATACCGACAGCATGACCAAAAAGAGAAAGAAGATGCAGACAATAACAGAAACCAGCCCATGCAAAGCCTGAAACAGATGTTACAGAGGTTTAAAATGTGATACATAGCAGAAGTTTGCATGTGAGCTCACCGATTTTCTTTGGGCAGAACCATGAAATGCCATTGGCTTAATGAAGAACATCTTAATGTTAGCCCATATTTTTTGTTGTTGTATTTTTTTGCTCAGCCTGTTCAACAGTTAAGCAATCTTTGTTATTTCAATAAATTAAGTCTTAACACAAAAATCCTCCCAGGTCAGGATGCATTCTGCTGCATGGGGCCCCAGGGTTCCTCTCTCACTCCCACAAACATCCAGACACTACCACTCACAGCTCTGCAGCCACTGTAGTGGCTGTGATAGTTATGTACATTTAAGGAGGAATTCTGGTTTCACATGTACCCGTTTGACAGCGAAACCAGATGGCGTCATGGTTTTGTTCTTACTTGAGCATTTATGCCTTCAATCAACAGTGGACGTTGAAAGGTGCCAGGAAAAAAGGGGGAGAGAAGGAGACCAACACTGAGCATAGTTCAGGTCATATTCATGTTAATCACTCGGCCACCAGGACGTCCCAACTGCATTGTGTGTTTAGCTCAGCTCTGTATCATCCCTGTTAGATAAAACAGATAAACCAATAAATAAATTAAGCAGTAGCTCAGTCCGTAGGGACTTTACTTGGGAACTGGGGGTAGCTGATTCAAGTCCAGCACCGACCGGGTATGGAGTGTAGACTGCTAGACTGGGAGACAATGTCAGTGGGATGGCCTGTTGTATGTAAAACTCCCGTTCTCATTCCTGGGCATCAAAAACTCACGGCCTCCTCGGCTTCAGGCCCAGGCTGACAGCATGTAGCGGACCATGTTTCCCAGCTGTGAAGAAGACAGGCTGATATGGTTGGCTGCACTTGGCCTGCAGCTCTTGCCCCCTTCTCCTGCCAGCCATATTCTTCCGGCTGCAAGAATATTTGCACAAAGTTCCTGTTTGTCTTGTGTTCACTGACCTGCAATCAAAGTAAACAGACAAACTCCCCCGACTCTGTCACATGAAAAAAATGTACAGGGACACATACTCAGACAAGTCACGAAAACAAGCTTCATCTACCCTCATGAGGACTCCAGGGCGGTGGCCGTAGATGGAATGACGAGAAGTAACCAAGAAGTGGTGCATTCGCTCTGAAAGGAGGACGTTTTAAAAGAAAGAACTCGAAAACAGCATCAGCACCTTGGACAGAGACACATCCCTTTGTTTGTGGAGGACAGGCGTACCCAGCAGCTGCAGGTTCTTTCCCTTGGCCAGCCTTTCCCTGTGTATCATGACAAAGATGTAATACCACACCCTGCTGAGCTTACAGAGGGCATTCTCCAGCTGCTTTGTGTTAGTGCAGCGGCCCTATGGGAAGCTTTGGTAATCGCTCTTAAGATAAGTAATTTCCCAAGACATTTCAGGGACATTTAGTCAGTCATTTGATTTCCAAAGCATAATTTTCTAAAAGGGAAATGCTATGTGAGAAATGTTGGTGGTTTTAATGGGAATCACCCAGAAACCCCCTCAGTGTCTCCTCTTAGGTTACACCTGCAACAGTCATGTTTGCTCTCATGGATCTCCTGGGGTACATCCCAAGTCTCTTAATTGCATCCCCGTTTCCCTCACTTGGGTCCTTTCCTTGCGTCTTAGTCCCTCCCACCAGGGATGCATGGAGGAAACCATGCGAGGAGAGAGGAACGAGGAAATATGTTTTAAGAGACATGAGACGTCCTTTCCTCAGTTGTGTCACGTGAAGCGACGTCTGTTTCTGATGACGGAGGATCAGCTGATCACAGCTGATCAGCTGACAGTCGGCTTTATCAGCTGGAGAGACTTTTGATAAGTTTGTGTCTGTTCACATGATCACTGTACTTAATAATAGTAACTAATACAAATGACTAATAAAGACACAGTAATCACCACTGTAGAGGTGTTTCTCTCTGTAGTCTGTTAACAAACTGTCCTGTGTTCTGTTTATAAGCGCAGGATCCATTTCTACCGGCGGAATGCGATCGTCTTATTTATGAATTATTTGCATCTGTACATTTTGAAATTCAGATTATGGCGTCATTATTAAATAACCCAGAATATGATTATTGTTTCTCTTAAATGATAAAACTCATCAAACCCGACAATCAGGAATGAACAGCCTCACGTGACTGAATGAAATGATGATAAATGATGTAAAAAGTGTTTCGTCTCTCCAGCTCTCTCTCTCTCTCTCTCTCTCTCTCTCTCTCTCTCTCT